TGCTGCGAGGGAAGTCGGTTTCCCTTGAGCCCCCATGGCTCGGGGCCAGCTTTCCCAGTCGTCTGCTCTTGCTTCCTTCTGCCCTTCCGGGTTTTCATCGTTACCAAGGAGTTATGCCCCTCCCATTTAACTTTTTTAGTTTACTTTACAAAAAGATGTCAGTGTCAGTTTGTCACCGTGTGTTTTGTCCTCTGCTTCTCCCTCTCTGATACAGCCTGAGCCCTGTGTCCCTGCTCTGGCTCTCCTCAGCTTTCTCTCCACTTCCTCTCCGCTGCAATGGGGTCCCCCCTCACCCCCATGCCTCAGCTCTGCAGACAGGGGCTGGACTATTCCTCTCCTGTCATCATCATTATCATCATCATCATGGGGAACCCTGTGCTCCGTTCTTGCCCTGGGTCGAGCTCCCCTGTGGCTTGACAACACTAGAATTTCTTTTTGACCCCATTCCTCTCTCCCTCGGATAACCCTATTGAGCGGGAGTCATTTTTTTTTCCAGGGACAAGTGAAGCTCAGAGCAGCTGTGCTTTGCCTGAGGTCACACTGCAAGACCCAGCTCCGCCCCTTTTTGTCTTGGTAAGTGTATTCACCATTCACACACAGTTTTATTGAGCGCTGCTGGGTGCCAGGTGTTGTTCCTTTAGTCTCTCTGAGCTTCGTGTGCTCAAGCATAAAGTGGAGCTAAAGGCAGCACCTACCACAAAGACTGTGCCTTCTATCACAGCATATGAAGAAATGTGTGTTCTACAATTATTTATTATTACTGTGAACTTTGAGTTAGGTCTGGTCTAGAACTTGAGTTTCCTGTCTGGTGCTCTATCACCCATGTTCATTCATTTGCTTGCCAATGATTCTGGGGTCACTGCTCTGGGTGCCCCAGTCCTGATTCTGTAGCAACATCCATGTTGGGGTTCAGGTGTCTCCAGCTTCTCCCCTGAGCCCAAACCTCTCGCTGGGTCTCCAACCCTGGAGCTGTCTTTCTTCCTCTCCATCTCCCTCCTCCCTTAGATCAGAGGTTCAAGGCCTTTGCTCTCCACTGGGTGACTTTCTCCTGGTCTTCCCTCCTAGCCTGAGCTGGCATGAGAAGCCCCAAGTAGGTCCCCATACTGGAATTCCACCCGGACACACTTTCCCCCTTCCTGGGGTAACCTGAGCACTCCAAGTCACCTTCAAAAATTTCCATCACCCTCAAGGGCTCCCGCCCACGCCTCTCTAATTGACTGGGGCTTGGGCTGTTGCCTGGGTTGAAAGGACCAACAAATAAACACAGACGCTTCCTTCATACAGGGAATCCTTGTGTTTCTCGGAGCCCCTGGTAGGCTTGGTCACTTTGATTCCCCCCCCAGCGGCCCCCGGAAGTGAGGGCGGTGCCTTGGGGAGACTTCCTCCACAGCCAGGGCACCCCTCCTGCAAGTCCCTGGACACCAAGGCAGAGGTGGCCTCAAGCTGTTTGTCCATGGGGGAGGGGGGAAGGCAAATACCATCCAACGTGACAGGGCTGCACTGTCGCCTGGCAACTGACAAACACATGGTAGGGGGGACAGAGTGAAACTCCGTGACCCGTGTCGTTTTTCTGGAGGTCCAGGGAGCTTTGAGCCCTTTAGGAGGGCAAAGGCAAGGCCAAGGGCAGTGACCTGTCCTGGTGTGCATGCCCTACTTTTGTGGGGCCCTGTCATTTGGTCATCGCAGGTGGGAGTGGTAGTGTCATGTTTTCTCAGGACAGAGGTGGCCGAGAGCAGAGGAGCCAGGGTTCCCTCGAAGACCTGTGCCTGGCCCTGGGGCCAAGCCTGGTGCTCCTGTGGCCTTGTGCAGAGGCCCCACCTTCTCCTCCCCGCCCAATCAGATGCGAGAGCTCCCAGGCTGCCCTGTTTACCCTGAGTCTGTCGATTGCCCAGCACAGGGGTGAGCACACAGCTGGCCAGCAGCGTGCTGTGCTGTGCAGTCACCTCGGCCACCCCAACAGCCTTCGATCCCCTTGACCTGGAGGCCACAGGTCCCCTGGAGTGGTGTTTGGCTGTGAAGGTCAAAGGGGACTTGAAGTAAGGGCTCCACCCTGGCTTTTTCATCCCAGTTGTGCTCTTCATCAACTGGCGGCCTGGATTTTTCCATCTGAAAAGTCAGCAGCGGCTTGTGATGTCGCTGGCCCACATCAGAGCACCACTTTGAGACCTGGGTGCTCCGCATCTCATCCGGCTCCCTGCTAATGGGCCTGGGGAGGCAGCAGAAGACGGCCCAAGTGCTGGGGCCCCTGCACCCACGTGGGAGACGCAGGTGGACTTCCAGGCTCCTTGGCTTCAGCTTGGTCCAACCCTAGCAGTCACATGGGGAGTGAACCAGCCAATGGAAGATTCTCTGTCTGTCTCTGTCGCTCCCTTTCTCTCTCTGGCTGTGCCTTTCAAATAAATAAATAAATACATAAATCCACCTTCCAAAAATATCGGCTGAGACCGGCTCCCTGTTTGCTGTGGGAGTCAGGGGAGCTGAGTGCAACTTGAGGTGTGAGTAGCATGGAGACTCTGGGGAGACACACCAGGTCACAGCCGCGGAGGTTACGGCGGGGACAGGAGGGCCGGGCGCGTGTCGCGGTCACAGCTCACCCCTCTCCTCCCCCCAGGCTCTGCCCCTCCCCGCGGGGCTTCCCAGTCCATCCCGGGGCCATGGACACAAAGCTGGCAGTCCACGAGGATGCGCCTCCCCTGGTCTCCTGGGTCCCCGAGGAGGGCGAGAAACTGGAGCAGGAAGGCGAGGACCAGGCGAAGGATCGGGGCCAATGGACCAACAAGATGGAGTTTGTGCTGTCAGTGGCCGGGGAGATCATTGGGTTGGGCAATGTCTGGAGGTTTCCTTATCTCTGCTACAAAAATGGAGGTGGTGAGTTCACTCGGAGGTAGGCGTGGTGGCTGGGCCCCTCCTGCCCGGGCAGCGCAGTGGAGCGGGAGGGGGCAGGCGCTGGAGTTGGAGGCAGGCCCGGCTCCACCCCCAGCCTCAGGGCCGCTCTGTGAAGCGGGGATGTTGGCAAACAGGGCTGTGCTGAAGTTTGAATGAGGCAACGGGCAGGGCCAGTTTCATTTTGAAAGCATGCATTTACTTAATTTGAGGGACAGAAAGAAAACCAGAGACAGAGAGCGAGATAGCAAGCACCACCGTCCACTGGTTCGCTCCCCAAGTACCCACGACCACAAGGGCAGGGCCAGGCTGCTAGCCAGGCGCCTGGAACTCAGTCTGGGTCTCCCACGTGAGTGCCAGAGCCTCTGCTACCAGAGCTGTCGTCTGTTGCCTCCCAGGGGTTGCGTTAGCAAGAACCTGGAGTCAGGAGCAGAGCTGGGCCTGGAGCCAGCGCTCTGATATTAGCTGTAGGCTTCCCAGGTGGCCTCTTGATCTCTGCTATGCTAAAACACCCAGCCCAGAATCTGAGCTTCTGATAAGCTGGTTCTTTAAGAGAGACAGAGGGAGAGAGAGAGAGAGAGAGAAAGAGAGAGATCTTCCGTCCTCTGGTTCACCCCCCAAATGTATACAAATGTGAGGTCATAGAATCGATTCATTCAACTAATATCACTTCAGGCCTACTGTGTGCCAGACACTATTGCAGAGACGCACACAATGCACTCCGGCCGCTGTGTTCTGATGGAGGGGCAGATTTCAAATGAGTGACACATGTGGCAGGTCAGATGTGGCGAGTGGAGCAGAGGAAAGCAGGGGAGGTGGGTGATCAGGAAGGCGATACGTGAGCCGGGACCTGGGGGAGGTGAAGGAGCGAGTCTCTCAACAGCCAGAACAGCGAGTGCAAAGGTCCTGGGGTGAGGGTACAGCTGGCCTGCTTGCAGGGGCCAAGTGGCTGGAGTGGAAAGGCAGGAGTGCTGTCAGGGGCAGGCAGGGAGCACAGCTGGTGCCTGTGCCCTGCGTGGGATGGCAGCCGTGAAGAACTGTTATCTGAGAAATGATGTCTGCAGACTGAAGAAACATACTTTTTTGTTTTAAAAGATTCATTTTATTTATTTGTAAGGCAGAGTTACGGGGCGGGGGGAGAAAGAGAGAGAGAGAGAGAGGAGAGAGGAGAGAGAGAGATCTTCCACCCTCTGGTTCACTCCCCAAATAGCTGCAACAGCCAAGGCTGGGCCAGGCCAAAGCCAGGAGTCAGGAGCTTCTCCCAGGTCTCCCATGTTGGTACAAGGGCTCAAGTACTTGGGCTACCCCCTGCTGCTTTCCCAGGCTCATTGGCAGGGAACCGGATCAGAAGTGGAGCAGCTGGGACTTGAACCGATACCCATATGAGATGCTAGTATCGAAGGTGGCAGCTTAACCCATTATGCCACAATGCTGGCCTCAAGAAACATATTTTTATTATTTTTGTTTGGCAATGGTAGCAAAAATGAGCGGAGTCAGGGTGTGGAGGGGCCAGATAATAATTATTATCATTATTTATTTTTTAATTTATTTGACAGGTAGAGTTATAGACAGAGAGAGAGACAGAGAGAAAGGTCTTTCTTCCTTTGGCTCACCCCCCAAATGGCCACTACAGTTGGAACTGCGCCGATCCGAAGCCAGGAGCCAGGTGCTTCCTCCTGGTCTCCCATGTGAGTGCAGGGCCCAAGCACTTGGGCCATCCTCCACTGCCCTCCCGGGCTACAGCAGAGAGCTGGAGTGGAAGAGGAGCAGCTGGGACTAGAACCGGTGCCCATATGGGATGCCGGTGCCACAGGCGGAGGGTTAACCAAGTGAGCCATGGTGCCGGCCCCTATTATCATTATTTTTAAATTAAAAATTTTAATTTATGTAAGGTGAACAAATTTCATGTATTTCATATATACAGTTGTTATTAATTTTTTAAAAGATTTATTTATTTATTTGAAAGGTAGAGTTACAGAGAGGCAGGGGCATAGAGAGAGGGGGAGAGAGAGAGAGGGAGAAAGAGATCCTCCATCCGCAGGTTCATCCCACAAATAGCCACCAATGCCAGGAGTTTCTTCTGGGTCTTAGAGTTATAGACAGTGAGAGAGTGAGACAGAGAGAAAGGTCTTCCTTCCGTTGGGTTATTCCCCAAATGGCCGCTATGGCCGGCACTGCACCGATCCGAAGCTAGGAGCCAGGTGTTTCTTCCTGGTCTCCCATGTGGGTGCAGGGCCCAAGCACTTGAGCCATCCTTCACTGCCCTCCCGGGCCACAGCAGAGAGCTGGACTGGAAGAGGAGCAACCTGGACTAAAACCCATATGGGATGCCGGCGCTGCAGGCAGAGGATTAACCAAGTGAGCCACAGCACCGGCCCCTCTTTGGGTCTTCCACAAGGGTGCAGGGGCCCGAGCACCTGAACCATTCTCTGCTGCTTTCCCAGGTGCGTTAGTAGGGATCTAGATTGGAAATGGAACAGCTGGGACTTGAACCAGCATCCAAATGCGATGCTGGAGCTGCAGGTGGTAACTTTACTCACTATGCCACAGTGCCAGCCTGTTATTATTTTTTATGTGTGAAATTCAATGGATTTTCGTATATTCACCAAATTGGGCAACTATCACCACAATCAATTTTAAAACATTTCCATTATCCAAAGAGGAAAATTCAGTATCCATTAGCCGTCATTCCCTAATCTCCGCCCACCCTCAGCGCCAGGCCTTGGCATCCACCAAGCTGCCGCCTGTCTCTGGATCAACCCATTTGGAATATTTCATATAGGCAGGATTGCTCAGTATGTCGTTCTCTGCGACGGAACAGATTTGTATTTGCCTTCGGGGAGATGATTTTTATTCTTCTGGTGGAAAGGAAGATGATAACTATTAGAAACACTCCCATTTGGAAATAAACACTGTTTAGAAAATCCTTCACCAGGGGCCAGCGTTGTGGCGTAGCGGGTAAAACCACCGACTGCAGTGCCGGCATCCCATAGGGGCGCCTGTTCGAGTCCCGGCTGTTCCACTTCTAATCCAGCTCCCTGCTAATGTGCCTGGGAAAGCAGTAGAAGATGGCCCAAGTCCTTGGGCCCCTGCACCCGCATGGGGGACTCAGAAGAAGCTCCTGACTCCTGGCTTCGGATCGACCCAGCTCTGGCCATTGCATCCATCTGGGGAGTGAACCAGCGGATAGAAGACCTCTCTCTTGGCCTTTGCCTCTCTGTTACTTTGCCTTCCAAATAATCATCTTTATGTTGTGGTTCATCCACAAGCTGCCAGCCTCAGTGAGTACAAAGACATGGGAATGAGGTTGCTCGGTGGGCCAGGGCCGTGGTGCCGTGGCTGTACGCAGGAGACCAGTACAACATGGACATTAGGGAGGCAATCAGAGGGGGCCAGGCTGGGAATGTGGGTCCATCGCAAGCCACAGTTTCCTGGACCTACAGGCTATTGGAGCCAGGGCAGGCGCTAGCCCTCATGCTGCAGAGCAGGACCTGCCCAGCACCACGGTGGTGGAGGACGGCAGGGGCTCCTGGCACCCAGGCTGCCTGGGCCCCACCACCCTGCATGCAGCCCACTGCTCCACCTGAATGGGGCCTCGGGCTCCAGCAGTGTCCACCCTGCCTCTGCCCTGCCAGTGGTTTCTTGTTGTAAAGAAAAAAAAAACGAGTAATGGATTTGAGATACAGAGGGGGCGTTCCAACTTGATGGTTCCCTCTCCAAGTGCCTGCGGTGGTCCGCAGCTGGGCAGAAGCCAGGTCCTGACATGGGTGGCAGGAACCAGATGACGCCCAGAGATCGTATTAGCAGCAAACTGGAAGCAGGATCTGGAGTCAGGAACCAAACCTTTAAAAGAAATCCTCTCTGTGACTGACAGTATGGAGCACATACAAACGCCGTGCAAATGGCCCTGCTCCTGTACTGCTGAGGGGGCGAGGACGTGTGCGGCACAGAGGCAGTGGCTGGCGGACTGTTCTCTACCTGTGATGGGCTGAACAGGCAGAGGCAGAGCCGTGGACACGGAGGGCGACTGTGCTGCCATCCGGGGTCTTTCATTTGTCTTTAACGCAAGAGGGCTGAAGCAGTCTGGGATTCCGGTGTGGGGTCGTTGGTCTTTGGTGATCTAGGAAGGCAGAAAAGCGAGGAGATGAGTTTCCCAACAGCCTGGGAAGAGACTGAAGAGGGACCAGGACATCACAGATGAACCCAAGGGCCCTGTTTTGTGGTGATAGGGTTCCTCTTAAGCTAATCATACACCCTGATGAGCAGCTAAATACAGTCTTTATTAAAACATGCAGGGAAATTGTTTGTTAATAAGCACAGTTCTATAGAGAAAAATCGTTCACAAGAGACAAAAGAAAAAAGCAGTTATATGGTCGTTGGTCTCAGTAGGTCTTTGACAGAGAGGGGCTGCTAAGGCAGGCCAGCTGCAGGAAGTGGTTCACGCCGCGAGACAAGAGCCCGTCCTGAGATCCTTTGTTGGCGCGGAGACTCTGGTGTGACTTAGAGCCGAGGGGGTGGGGGAGGCTTTACACTTGGCACAAGTGCCAATCACAGTGCCTGCATAGACCCCCGTGTCCACAGCCTGGCCATGCACTGAGGCCACTGTGGACGAGGCTGGAGCCCAAAGCATGGGTTCTGGTAGGTTCAAAGGACGAGGGGGCTTTGGGGGTGGGCACCCCTGCCCCGATCTGGAACCCCCCGAGGGCCCGGGCCTGCTGCTGCCGGGTCAGGGTGGCCCTGGACTGAGGTCAGCCCGTCTTGTGTGGGACACAGTTCACATGCCAGGGGGTAGGACAGAAGCTGGTGGGGAGGGGTCCGTGGGCCTCGTGCCCCTGCCCCCCAGACTTCCTGTGATGGGCCCTGTGGGGGAGGCCCTTCTCCTGGGCACTGTCCAGGCGAGGCAGGGCCTTCCAGGCAGTGTTTGCCAACGCTGCAGTCTTGCCCAGGTGGGAAAGGCAGACGTGGGGTTCGAAGGAGCTCCAGGACTCTGCGGAGGGCTCCTGGCTGTGGTGCCTCCCGGGGCTCCAGAAGACACAGGCCCTTGTCCTTTTCTTGCACAGAGGCCAGTGCAGAGTACAGAGGGGGACAAGCGTTTTGAAGGGCAATTTGGAAATGTGCGTCAGTGACCTTAAAACTGTGCATTCCCCGAAGGCGGCAGCCAGCGCTCCACTAACGCATGCGCGGCCGGAGCTGCTGTGGGGCCAGAGCGCAGGAACAGCACTGGGCCTGGCGCGGGTGACCTCGCGGGGCACGAATGCTGCAGGCTTCCCCTGAGGTGAGGTCCCTGGAAAAGGACAGTCACGCCAGCAGAGAGGAGAGCCGGGGCTGCTCACGTGTAACGCGTGCAGAGTCGCAGTTCGCATGGTGGCAGTGTTCTGGGGGTGGGTGACAGTGCCGGCTGAGCAAAACTGAGAACCCACGTAATGCCAGCGAACTCTACACTTCCAGATGGTTGTAGTGGCCTGCCCCCAAATGTACACAGCCCCTGCCTCAGCAAGTCCTCTACTGGAAATGTGTGCTAAGGAGTAAGCTAGCCAGACCACCAAGATGTGGGCGCTGGTCTCACGCGGCAGGGTTCCTCATGAAGCCACCAGAATGTCCAGTGACAAGGGACTTAAGGATAGATGCATATGGTGGAATATTACACACTCTGGAAAATGATGATATAGGTATATATGTATTGCTATAAAGAAGTTCACAATATAAATGTTAAAAAGATTATTTATTTATTTGAAAGGCAGAGCTACAGAGAAAGAAGGAGACAGAATGAGAGTGAGAGCGAGATCTTCCATTTGCTGATTCACTCATGGTTGCAAATGGCCGAGAATGGATCAGGCCGAAGCAAGGAGCCCTGAACTCCATCTGAGTCTCCCACGTGAATGGCAGGGGCCCAAGCACTTGGGCCGTCCTCTGCTGCTTCCTCAGGCACATTAGCCAGGGCTCAAACTCGTGCTCCGCTATGGGATGCTGGCCGCACAGGTGGCGGCTTAGCCCACCGTGCCCCAGCCCTGGCCCCGCAGTGTAAACTGTAAATGGTTATCAAATAACGCAGGAGTAGGAGACATACGTGCTTAGAAGGGGTCTGGAAGGACATAGCAGGCTTCTCTCCCTCTGGACTTCCTACCTGTTCCACAAAGTAAGAGGGTCACCTTCAGGGGCGTAAGGTTGGGTTTAGGAGCAGAGGCTCGGGACCAGACCAAGGGGGTTGTGCCAGAGTTTCCTCATGTGTGCTTCTGTTTTTGCCAATCTTTAAACTGGCCTCAGTTTTCTCATCTGTAAGATGGGGGTCCCATGGTCCCTACCCCGTGGGAGGCTGCTCTGGGGGGATGCTGAAGCTGGTGACTGTCAGTACCCGCTCATCGCCAAGGCTGCTCTGTGGCGAGCAGCGAGGCGCTCACCCGCGGCTGGATTTCTGGGCGAAGCGCGCGCCTGGATGGCCGCGCTCAGAGCCGCCTTCCCGCTCTGCCCTCGGATAATCTGCCTGGTGGCTCTCAGCCTGGCCTGCCTTCGGCACCTGTAGGTCAGCGCCTTCTCGGCCGGGAGCCCGGTGAGGGAGAGGAAACCCTCTCGAAATTATTAGAGAGGAAACCATGCTTCCAAGGTCTGTGTGTTGGTTTGTGGTCCTCTAACATGTCATAAATTTGATAATTTCACAAACATTACGAGTTCTACAGAACACAGGTGTGGCTTCTGGAAATAATACATAGATTATACCCACAAAGCTCACCATGAAAAGAAACGGTGCATGTGCTGGGGACCGACTCTTTAATTTCCACTCTGACCTTCAAAGCTCTTTCCCGTCCCATGAAGGGCTCAGGCCACAAAGCTGCCACCCTTACCTGCCTGACACCTCTAGCTGATGTGGGCCTGTGGGAGGTACAGGAAGTTGAGGGGTGGGGGTGCTGGAGGGTAGCTCTCTGGGTGGGCTGGGAGGGGAGGAGCAAGGGTTGGTTCAGCCCCTGCCCTCTCTTTTGCAGGAGCCTTCTTCGTCCCCTACTTTATCTTCTTCTTCAGCTGTGGCATCCCGGTGTTCTTCCTGGAGGTGGCGCTGGGTCAGTACACGAGCCAGGGGAGTGTCACAGCCTGGAAGAAGATCTGCCCTCTCTTCCAGGGTGAGTGGCCTTCCTCTTCGTGGGGCTGTCGACCCGCCTTGCTGACCTGTTCACCCTCCTACTCATGCACCCACTCTCATCCTGGGCCAAATGCATAATCAGGCCTGGTGGCGCCAGCTCTATCAAATCTTGGAGGAAGCAAGAAAAAAAATCATAGAAAATTGCAGGTAGCAAATCAGGTGCAGGGCTTTGGCGGGGGCCCCTGCAAGGGAGGGCCCATGAACTTCGTGTTCAGTAACCTCACAGGGAATGCATTTCTGGGTATGTGGCCTGGTCCCGGCAGGCCTCCAAAGTTTGCAGGGTCTTCAAGAAAGCCATGCAGAACGCTCATGCTGAGAAAACCGTGCATGGATTTTAGACACAAACTTGAATTCTGTCTCTCCCTGAGTGCTGAGAAGCGTCCCTGTGCACTAGTGACGATCATGATGGGGGGCGCTCTGGTATCTCTCGAGCCCTACTGTGTGTCAGGGCCCGGTGAGCACTGAGCATGCGCCTCCTGTCAATCCTCCAAAAACCCCAGCGACCCCTGATCTGAAGATAAGGCAAACGAGGTCACTCAGCCCACCCCTGAGCGGGAGGCTGCTCCTCCGCCCTCCTGCTGGACTGTGCCGGAGACAGCCCCGGCTTCTGCCTCCTTGGATCACATGGGATGTGTGAGCAGGCTGGGGTGCCTTCCCCTCTCTTTAGTTGACTGGACTGATCCCCTGGGGCCCAGTGGGAAGCATTTCCTTGTGCGTTTGAGGTGGTGAGCAGACCCCTGCCCTCATGCCAGTCCCTGTAGGCGCCTAGGGACTAGGCTATCCGGGGACTCCTGTCCCCTGGGCAAGGGGCCTAACCAGCGGGCTGGATGGTGGTGAGCAGGTGGCACTCACGTGGGTTCTTTCGAGCCAAGGCCAGTTTGGTGCTGGAACAGCCTGAAGCTTGGCTCACCCCAGGTGCTGCGCATGTCGGCCAGGAGTCTGCTGGGGACCTGTGAGTGTCAGCACCCTGCGCCCCGCGCCCAGTCCCCAAGTCTGGGGCGTTCTCCGGCGAGGGCTTGTTCTCCAACGTCCATTGGCCTCCATTAAACAGCTGGGAAGCTTCCCAGGATGGTGGGGGCGGGATGGGCTCTCACTAGGATCCTGTCCCACAGGATGACAGCTGCCACTTTTTGACTGTGACATGATTCCACTTTGCAGAACACGTGTGCCCCAGGAGACCGTGTGTCCCCGCCAACCCTGAGAGTCCGCGCTGGTGTCAGAGGTGGTGTGGGGCGCTGCTCAGACCCCGGAGCCCCAGGCCTGGGGGCTTCTGCCTCATCCTCTCTGCCTTGTGTTCTGGCTCTTACGCTGAGACTGGGTGCCCTGCATCCCTCCTGCTTAGCCCTGTATTCTGCCTGTCTCCTTTATTTTACAAGCAACACATGATTGTAATAGGACAAGTAATAGAAAAAATACTTGACAAAGTGTGCTGAAATCCCAAGACCTAGCAAACCGCTTGTGGAGTTTTGGGTGAAGACTCTGCTGGAGTTTGCGCATGTGCATTCAAGGATGTGTCACCAAAGAAGAACGTGTAGGGAGCTGTTCTGTCACCTCTCTCGCTTCGAACAAGTGTGCTGAAAATGGCTTTTCACGTCTATACAGTAATCCTGCTAGTTTGCTCTGTGGAGCCCCCAGAACCCTCGTAGCCTGTGGTTTCTCTGTGCTTGTTATTTTTGGCTAATGTGACTCCTCTGATTTGTCTTCTTGCTACCACCCAACCCTGGAAGGCATCGGGCTGGCATCCGTGGTCATTGAGTCCTATTTGAACGTCTACTACATCATCATCCTCGCCTGGGCTCTCTTCTACCTGTTCAGCTCCTTCACCTCTGAGCTGCCCTGGACCACCTGCACCAACTCCTGGAACACAGGTAAGCCGCCCCCCTCCAGGCTGGGCCGTGCTGGCTGGTGATGGCCCGATAGCGACAGAGGACGTGGCAGAACTGGCCTGAAAGCCAAGCCAGGTGGGCTCCGTGCCAGTTCTGTTGGCTGTTCCTTGTGTGGGTTGGCCGCTAGGTGAGCCCACTAGGATTGCGGGAATGTAGTGGGACTGTAGCGTCCAATGGCAAGGGGTTATCACCACTCATGCATTTAACAAATGTTCACTGGGCACCTACTATGTGCCAGGTCTGCTGCTGAACGCGAGTCACGTGGTCCCAGCCGATGGGAGCTCGTAGTGCAGTGGTAGAAACACATGTGTGAACCAGCCACAACTTACCCTGGGTGAAATTCACAGTGCAGCAGTTGTAGCCAAGGGAGGGGGAGGCTCCCTGTGCAGCCTGCAGAGGAGGAGTCTCCCACGTCCGTTTCATGCCGAGCACAGGGCCAAGTGAGGCGCATGGGGCTGTGAAGTCTGGGTTGGGCCTGGAGTTGGCCGGGCTCTCTGGGAATTAGAGTAGCTGTGTGGGGGAGTGCGGGGGTGGGAGAGGAGATCCGGTCCAGGACACCCAGGGACAGGGAGGGTGGGGACCACCAGGCTGCAGGGCCAGGGGGCCGCTCTCCCTGTCTTGTCCCTCACTGGTCTACCCCCTGCCTTGTCCTCTACAGAGTACTGCCAGCACGCTCTGAACCACTCGGGAGCCGGCACAGGGAGCTCCACTGAGAACTTCACCTCACCCGTCATGGAGTTCTGGGAGTACGTGTGGGCCGGGGGCCCCAAGCAGGGGGGCTTTGGGTGGCTGAGCCGTGCAGTCTGAATGTCCAGGGTTCAAGGTTAAGGTTGGCTGTGCAACACTTTGTAGCACTTGCTCCCTTCCCACTCGTCCCCCGACCCCACCCACCACGCAGCGGTGAGGGGCACTCGGGCACCCACCACCCTTGTCCACCCACCCCAAACCCACGCACGCCCACTAGACTTGTGCTTGCACTTCCTAATCATGTTCTCATGTCCGTCCATGCCCTCACATCCACCCTCACCCCCACACTCACACCACACAAGGGTACCCCAAAACTTCATGGAAAATGGAATTAACACATAAGTTTATTTTGGTGCAGAAAATTTTGAAAAAACTGATGTGTGTATAGTCTTTTTTCATAACAAGCCTTTTCTATGAACTCTTTTGAAGACCCCTTGTATGCACACGTTTCAAAATTTTTTTCACCAAAACTTTTATAACTAAAAATTTTGTATTTATTTAAGTTATCTGGAAGGCGGACAGAGGTCTCTCATCTGCTGGTTCGGTCTTCAAATGCCCAGGAGACAGGAACTCCACTGGGGTCTCTCCTTTGGGTGCACTTACCCAACACTTGAGCCATCACCGTTGCCTCCCAGGGTCTATATTTAGCAGGAAGCTGGAATCAGGAGCAGAGCCAGGGCTTGAATCCAGGCCCTCCAAAATAGGGTGCAGGAGTCCCAAGTGGTGTCTTACCTGCTGCCCACTTCCATACTTTCCCTAAATGGTGTTTCCCACACGTCCTTTGAGGTCCCCGGTACGCTCCTTCATGCCTCCCTCTCCACCCTCACCTCTGTCTTTGTCTCTGGACAGCAGAGGGATCTGGTGAGTTAGAAAGCCAGGATTCCTGTGGGGCAGCCAAGAGCATGCAGACGTGGTGGGAACGGGGCTGTGAGGAAGGAGCGGGGTGGGGTGGGGAAGAGCTGCGACTGGAGCTCGGAGGGGCAGCCAAGGGTCGGGAGGCTAGAAGACAAGGCGGGTTGTGCCCGTCGCCTCGCCCCAGTGCTCAACTCTGCCCCATCCGTCAGGAGACGGGTGCTGGGCATCACGGCGGGCATCCATGACCTGGGCGCCCTGCGCTGGGAGCTGGCCCTGTGCCTCCTGCTCGCCTGGATCGTCTGCTACTTCTGCATCTGGAAGGGCGTCAAGTACACGGGCAAGGTGAGGAGCGCTGGCCCCTGGGGAGCTCTCTGGGATTGCCTGGGGGGAGTGCCCCTGCAGAGGTGGGGAAAGGCGTGGTGAGAACAGGAAGGCGGGGCTTGGCTCCATACAATGGAAGACTGTGGGTTTCCATAAGGCTTTGAGAGACCTGTTTGCATGAGTGATACTCAAAGCAAAACAGGAAATACGGACGTCCTGGTGCTGGAGTGCGCCATCAGGGTGACCTGCTAATGCTGTGGACTTCTGCCGCGCTGCTTCTGGTTTCTGTCGTACGCAGGACCTTGCCTGTGTGTCTGTGGACTAGCTTAAAGCATCTAACAGCGCACGAAGGCCGTTTGCGGGACAAAGCAGCAAACAGAACTGTCTTTGACATGGCGAATTTCCCATCAGAGCGCAACGTTCGAGCCAGGAGGGAACACTGGTGGGCTTGTTAGGGAAGCCTCAGGTGGCAGAGTGTTTCCCACCCTCGCCTTGTGCTTTATTAAAAGCCAGGACTGAACAGAGCCCTGGATTCTCTGATTAACCATTTAGGCTGCTCTCCAAGCAGCCTCCCGGGCCTGTGGATTGTTGCAATCATAGCAGTCACAGTCATGATAAAAGTGGCCATTGTGGTAATAATAGCAGAGAAAGGTGGCCACCTGGGGCCAGGAGCCGGCTCGCCTGGGGCAGAGTGAAAACACCCTTTGTGTGTGTGTGCACACGCCAGCTCGCCAGCTCGGGACCTGGGCTGTCAGGCGGCCGTTGCTGTCCCAGCCATAAGCCTGGAAAAGTACAGTCTAAATTTCCCAGCGAATTCTTGAACAAGTCTGATCCCTCCCCCTGGTGAGGGGCAGGCCCACCCTTGCCAGGGTAGAGTGGGCCCGGGGGATGTCGGGGGAGCTGCCAGGGTCGGGGATTAAGGGAGACCAGATTCTGGGTTTTAAACAGTCCGTGAAAGGCTATCGCCTGGAGATGGGCACCCCTCCTGCCCCCCTCTGCGCCCCCGTCCCTGCTGACGTCTATCTCACACCCTGCTGGGATGTGCAGAGGCAGAGGTGGAAAGTCCCCAGTGCCCACCCCCCGGCGGCCCCGAGGGAGCTCAGTGCAGCTGGTGCTGCCTGGGCCGGGGGTCCCCACAAGCAGTGACCTTGGCTCCCCCCTCCCCCCAGGTTGTTTATTTCACAGCCACGTTTCCCTACCTGATGCTGGTCATCCTGCTGATCCGCGGCGTGACGCTTCCTGGAGCCTACCAGGGCATCGTCTATTACTTGAAGCCGGATTTGCTGCGCCTCAAGGACCCCCAGGTGGCGCCCCCACCCCACCCCCAGGCCTCATCTTCCCAGGGCTGTCACTGTGCTTTCAGGGGTTCTAAAGTACCTGATGCCCACTGCAGAAAACCAGGGAACGTGCGAGAGGACGCTAAGGAAAAGGAGCTAAAAATCTCATGTAATCCCACCACTGGGACATAGTCTCTGTTGGCGTTTAGTATATTTCCATCCAAATTGTCTTTCTAGGCGATGTGTATCATGTGTGTGTGTTTATCTGAGAAGTAGAGAGGGAGATGGATAAAAGACAGATATATAGTCTTTTTTTTCCTAAAAGATTTTATTTATTTATTTATTTGAGAGCCAGAGTTATAGACGCAGAAAGGGAGTGATAGAGAGAGAGAGAGAGAGAGAGAGAGAGAGAGAGAGGTCTTCTGACTGCTGCTTCACTCCCCAAATGGCTGCAACAGCCAGAACTGGACCAATCTGAAACCAGGAGCCAGGAGTTTCCTCCAGGTCTCTCACGTGGGTGCAGGGGCCCAAGCACTTGGGTCTCTTCCACTGCTTTCCCAGGCCATAGCAGGGAGCAGGATAGGAAGAGGAGCAGCCGGGATGTGAACCGGAGCCCATATGGGATGCCGGCGCCGCCACAGGCAGAGGCTTAGCCCACTATGCCACAGCACCAGCCCCTGGTAGATATCCCTTCTGCTTGTTGCCTGCAGTGTCTGGGACTGGACCGGGCTGGGGCTGAATCTGGGAGCCAGGAACTGAATCCAAGTCTCCCACTCAATTACTTGAGCCATCGCTGCTGCCCCCTAGGGTCTGCATCAGCAGGAGGCGGGAGTCGGGAGCAGGGGGTGGTGTTGAGCTCATGTGCTCTGATAAGGGATGGGCATCTATTTTTTTTTTTTTTAAAGATTGACTTACTGATTTGAGAGAGTTACAGAGAGACAGAGGCAGAGGCCGAGAGAGATTGTCCATCCGTTGATTTACTCCCCAAATGGCTGCAATGGCTGGGGCTGGGCTGGGCCAAAGCAGGGAGCCAGCAGTTTCTTCCAGGTCTCCCGTGTGGGTGGCAGAGGTCCAAACACTTGGGCCATCCTCCACTGCTTCCCCAGCTGCATTAACAGAGAGCTGGATTGAAAGTGGAGCAGCTGGGACTCCAACTGGTGCCCAAATGGAGGATGCTGGTGTTGAGGACTGTGGCTTAACCTGCCACGCCACAGTGCTGGCCTCTAATTATCTTTTACTGAGAATTGGGTTGACCGCCTCCCACATTTATGGGACTGTTTGCATCTCCTCCAGGACTCCTTGGAACACACATTTTTTTTTTGTCCCCCTGCTCACATCTTGATGTCTTTCTTTGTGTTTTCATGAAGTGGCCTCTGTGCCCCAGGTGACGGTGGCCTCCAGTGCCCTCGGTAGACAGGTACTAGCTGAGCGCGAGCAAGCGGCTCTCAGCTGTGCCCTGCTCCCCGGGGCACACCCGTGGTGTGCAGACTCGCCGGAGGCATTCAGGGGGCACCAGTGTTGGGGGGGTTACCAGTTGCAAATGTTCCCTGCCTGGGGGAGGGTCGCTATGGGAACAGGGACGGCCCCACTCATGAGAGGGAAGCCGAGTGTGACGCTCACGGTGGGGTGACAGCTGAGCGTCCCTGGTCTCCCTGGTCAGGTCCTGGGGCCCCCTCCCGCTCTCCATCGACAACATTCTTGGGGTCTCCTGTAGGTGTGGATGGACGCGGGCACCCAGATCTTCTTCTCCTTCGCCATCTGCCAGGGCTGCCTGACGGCCCTGGGCAGCTACAACAAGTACCACAACAACTGCTACCGGTGAGCGCCGGCTGTGCTGGGGGCCCCGGGCCTCCCTGGGAGCTGAGGGCAGGGCCCCTGAAAGGCAGAGTAATAGAAAAAGAGAGAGAGGGGTGTGCTAGTTCACTCCCCATAAGGCCATAATGGCTGGGGCAGGACCAGGCCAAAACCAGGAGCCTGGAACTCCCTCTAGAATCTTCACGTGGGTGGCAGGTGCCCAAGCACTTGGGCCATCTTCCACTGCGTTCCTAGGCCATTAGCAGGGAGCTGGCCGGGATGGGAACAGGTGCTCACTGGGGATGCTGGTGTCACCGGGGGCAGCTGCACCTGCTGTGCCACAGCTCCGCCCAGGCAGGGAGGCCCGAGCCCTGTCGGGCTGACACTAGGTTCACTCCCCAGACTGAAGTTCTTTCTTGCACCCTTTTCTCGCTCGCCTGTCCCCCTTCCCCTCCTGGTGCCTGGGCTCTGGGCTGGGTCTTCCCCCACTCCCCCCTCCCTTCACTCCCTGTCCTCCTCACCCCCCTCCTTCCTCCTCCTTGTCTGCACCCCCCCAGGGACTCCATCGCCCTCTGCTTCCTGAACAGCGCCACCAGCTTCGTGGCTGGGTTCGTCGTCTTCTCGGTCCTGGGCTTCATGTCCCAGGAGCAGGGGGTGCCCATTTCCGAGGTGGCCGAGTCAGGTGGGTGCTGTGCTGTGTGGGGCCTGCCGGGAGCGGGAGGCGGAGCGCCCGGAGCCCTGGGCAGTTCCAAGAACTGGGGCAGGGCGCGTGGACGGGGGTGGCCCAAGGCTGCCCCGTGGGCGGGTGCACGGAAGGAACAGAGCAGTGGACGGAAGCCCTCTGCCCGCGCATGCGTGTGTGGGGACCCGCACGCACACGGTGCCTGGGAGAGGCCCCGAGCCCACCCTACTGTGCTGTGTGTGCCCGGCAGGTCCTGGCCTGGCCTTCATCGCGTTCCCCAAGGCCGTGACCATGATGCCCTTGTCCCAGCTGTGGTCCTGCCTGTTCTTCATCATGCTCATATTCCTCGGGCTGGACAGTCAGGTGCGGCCCCCCAGCTCCGCCCTGCCTCCGTGACCCCTTCCCGGCCTCTGCCTGGCCTGGCAGCTGGGACCGCCTCCCGCACACCCCTTCCCCTGCCCACGAATCGGAGGTCCCCTCTGGTGCCCAGGGCTTTTGCTTGGGGTGGGTTGGGTGGCGCGGGCCCTGGGCCCCTCCTCTGAGAAGAGGCCGGGTGCTGTTGCCCCATGCTGCTCCAGCTGCCCAGCCCCACAGCCCGCTGGCCTTGGGGACAGATCGTTCCCCTGCAGCCCTCTCTGATGGGACACTTTGTGGCCCACGGCCCTCCCATCCTGCACCCCAGGGCACCAGGGTGAGTGAAGGGAGGAGGGGCAGGTGCGTGCCCCTCTCATCTGGCCCGCCCCTCCTGGCCCACAGTTTGTCTGCATGGAGTGCCTGGTGACAGCCTCCGTGGACATGTTCCCCAGGCAGCTGCGCAAGAGCGGGCGGCGTGAGCTCCTCATCCTGGCCATCGCAGTTGTGTGCTACCTGATAGGGCTCCTGCTGGTCACCGAGGTGAGTGGGCTGGCAGCTGCACACGGAGGCACACTCTCTGCTGGGTGGGGGTGGTGACCTCGGCCCTTCCTCCCTCCCTGTGACCATTCAGAATCTCTTCACTTGGATCTCCTTTGGTTGAAGTGACAAACCAAGCGCAAGGTGGCTTAAGCAGGAGGGGAATCGATTGGGTTGAGTAACAGATAAGTCTAGAGATATGGGTTTCAGGCATGGCTGGATCCAGCAGCTCAGATGCCATTGGCAGGAAGGCCCCTGTCTTCCTGTAAGTTTGTGGCCAGGCAGGGTTCCCTCCTGTGAGATGAGGTGGCTCCTGCAGCGTCGGGCTCGTCTTTCCAACCGCAGACGGAAGAGAGGGCCTTCTCCCGAGTGCAGCTTGGAGCAGGGAACGGGACACCCCGAACTAAAAGAGGCAGAGGAAGGTGCTGCCAGCTTCCAGAAGGTGGGGTGCTGGGCACATAAGGCAACGTCCGTCCAGCACGGCCGGGCAGGGTGGCGCCCCAAGCAGGTGTCTGTGGCCTGGCCGAGGGCCCGAGGTGTCAGCTCCGCGCCCTGTCCGCAGGGCGGGATGTACATCTTCCAGCTGTTCGATTACTACGCTTGCAGTGGCATATGCTTGCTCTTCCTCTCCGTGTTCGAGGTGGTCTCCATCAGCTGGGTGTACGGTGAGTGGGGAGGGGCGTCCGGGGGCGGGTGGAGAGCCCCCGGGGCCTGGCGGAGGGTGGGGCTGCTCTCCGTGCGTCCTGGTGTGACAGTAGCTGCCTCACACCTGGGACACGGGGCAGGCCAGGGCAGGCAGCGCCTGGGAGGGTGACAGCTGACGTCCTTGACTGTCGTGCCTGAGAACCGCGAGGCGGAGAAGCTTGGATGTGCTGGGCTGGTGCTGTGGCCACACACACACACACACACACACACACGAGCGCGCGCGCCATCTGCACAGCCTCCCTCCACAGGGAAGGGGAGGCTCGGGCAGGTTGGGTCTCCTGCCGCAGCCAGTAGGGGCGGGAGCTGTCACCGACCATACCCCCTGGGCTCCACTGCTCCAGGTCCTGTTCTTTTGCTAGCCCAAGCCTTCCTCCCCAGTGCCTTTCTCTCTCCTTGGAGCTGTCTCTTACCTTCTCCCCCCACCAACACCCCACATGGCTGATAAACCTCCGTGTGTTCCCCCCGCCCAGCAGCGGCTGCTTTCTAACCTTGGGTTCCTGAGGGTGGGGTCCGCTGTGAGCGTGGGGTTGGGGTGCTGACCCTCCTGGCAGTGGCTCCTCCCTTCTGACCGGCCTGGCTCTGCCTACAGCCTGGGCACACGTGGAGAGGGCAAGCAAAGGCAAGGTGAGCCGGGCCTCCCTGGGGGACCCAGGTGGAACTCCCCGGCTCTCTGAATCTGGGCTGCTGCCTCACGGGTCCCCAGGGCCTGGGGGGTTTCCCCTGGCCGGTTTACTGCTTCCACTTGAACCACACCTTCATGGCTGGGGCAGAAGGGGACGCAGAGCTCTGGGGTCTCACAGTCTCCCCTCCCTGCACCTGTCAGGGGCGGATCGTTTCTATGACAACATCCAGGACATGATTGGCTACCGGCCCTGGCCCCTGGTGAAGATCTCCTGGCTGTTTCTGACCCCTGGACTTTGCCTGGTATGTGCCCACCCAGCTGCCACCTGCTGCCGCTGCCCTGGACTTGTGGGGATGCGTGGGGTGGGGGCGCGGCTGACTTCCGGGGCTGGTCCACTCCCCCGCAGCCGGTGTTTCGTCACTGCCACCGTCTGTTGCAGTTCCTGCTCCCCTCCTTTCGCTGCCCCATGTCCCAGCTCTCCATCTCTGTGTGCCCCAGTGCCGGTGGGAGTGCGTGGGGGCCCCTGGTGTCCTCCGTGCGGGGCTCCTGCGGCACCCGTGGCCTCTGACCCGCTGGGCACCCCTCTCCCCAGGCCACTTTCCTCTTCTCCTTGAGCAAGTACAGCCCTCTCCGATACAACAACGTCTACGTGTATCCCGCCTGGGGCTACTGCGTCGGCTGGTTCTTGGCGTTCTCCTCCATGGCCTGCGTCCCACTCTGCATCGTCATCGCCCTCCTGAAGGCCCAGGGTTCCTTCACGAAGGTAGGTGGCCAGGGATTGACCCCCGAGAGGTGGGCCCGGGGAGCCCACGCACACTCGTAGTGTGGGGCAGCTCTTTGCACTGACTCTAAGATTTGAGACTGTCATGGCTCATTCAGATTTTATAAAAGTTCTGCTGCGCGCGCGCTCACTAGGCTATCTCACTAGCGCGCGGCACACCGGGTCTAGTCCGTGGGGCGCCGGATCTGTCCCGGTTGCCCTCTTCAGGCAGCTCTCTGCTGTGGCCAGGGAGTGCAGTGGAGGATGGCCCAGGTGCTTGGGCCCTGCACCCCATGGGAGACCAGGAAAAGCACCTGGCTCCTGGCTCCTGCCATCGGATCAGCGCAGTGCGCTGGCCACAGCGCGCCGGCTGCGGCGGCCATTGGAGGGTGAACCAACGGCAAAAAGGAAGACCTTTCTCTCTGTCTCTCTCTCTCTCACTGTCCACTCTTCCTGTAAAAAAAAAAAAAAAAAAAAAAAGTTCTCCCTGTTGCAAGCTTGTCTCTTTGGGGGAAAAAAAATGCAGGTATTTATTTGAAAAGGAGAGAAAGAGAGCGCGAGCGAGCTCCCCCTACCATCTGCCGGTTCACTCTCCATATGTCTGTAAAAGCCAGGGCTGAGCCAGGCTGAACCTGGGAGATGAGGACTCAAACCCAGGTCTCCCGTGTGGGTGGCAGGGTCTGCTGCCTCCAGGCAGTGCGTTAGAGGGAAGCTGGAGCTGGGAGTGGAGCGAGGACGCGAACCCGGTGCTGGTGCCCCGAGCGGCAGCCTCACTGCTACACCCGGTGCCCACCCACCACGGCTCTCACGGGTCCTGGGTTGCTGGCCCTGCGCTGGCCTCCGGCGGGTCGCCTGGCGGGCAGACCCAGGGCTGACTGCCGAAGGGCTGAGCGGAAATGAAGTCAGCAGCAGGCACGTGAGGGCGTCCGGACGTGGAAGCCTGTAAGCACAGAGTTGTCGCTCTTGGAGAGGGGACCACCAGTTAGCACAACGCACGCCACACAGATTCCTCCTGCTGAGAGCCCCTGGAGGGAGCAGAGCCTGTGACCCACAGACAGCGCCTCTGCAGAGATCTCTCTGGCCTACGAGTAAGAGAAAGCGCAGGCCACAGCAGTACAAGCCGGAGACCTATTTATTTGCTGCTATCAAGATCAGAGAGGGCCGGTGCCGCAGCTCACTAGGCTAATCCTCTGCCTTGCGGCGCCGGCACACCGGGTTCTAGTCCCGGTTGGGGCGCCGGATTCTGTCCCGGTTGCCCCTCTTCCAGGCCAGCTCTCTGCTGTGGCCAGGGAGTGCAGTGGAGGATGGCCCAAGTGCTTGGGCCCTGCACCCCACAGGAGACCAGGATAAGTACCTGGCTCCTGCCATCAGATCAGCGCGGTGTGCCAGCTGTAGCGCGCCAGCCGCAGTGGCCATTGGAGGGTGAACCAACGGCAAAGGAAGACCTTTGTCTCTGTCTCTCTCTCTCTCACTGTCCACTTGTCCACTCTGCCTGTCAAAAAAAAAAAAAAAAAAAGATCAGAGAGGCTGCTGGCATCGGGTGTGGCTGCCTAACGAGGCCGTTAGGGCCCAAACTCTTCCTATATTTCTGTGCCTCCATCTGCTGTCTTTTCAACATTGTGCTTATCTTCCTCATGGTTGCAGCAAGGCTGCCATGATCCTTGTCAACACATCTGCACTTAAGAAGGGAGGAGGAGTGGCCAGCGCTGGGGCATTGGGGCCAGTGCTGTGGCATAGTGGGTAAAGCAGCTGCCTGTGATGCCGGCATCCCATATGGGCGCCGGTTCGAGCCCTGGCTGCTCCATTCCCAATGCAGCTCTCTGCTATGGCCTGGGAAAGCAGTAGAAGATGGCCCATGTCTTGGGCCCCTGCACCTGCATGGGAGACCCGGAAGAAGCTCCTGGCTCCCTGGCCATCACAGCCATCTGGGGAGTGAACCAGCAGATGGAAGACCTCTCTCTCTCTCTGCCTCTGCCTCTCTGTAACTCTGCCTTTCAAGCAAATAAATAAAATCTAATAAAAAAAAAAAAAAAGAAGGGAGGAGGAGATGGTACCAATGACAACAATAGCAATGGAGATGGTACTGCTAATAATGAGAAAAACCAGTAGACACTAACGTAGCACAGGATGGTTGGTCCTGATGCTATAAAAAACAGGTTATCTATTTATCACTGACTCTGGGCCAGGCACTGTTCTATGCGGTGTGTTCTATTATACTTTTTAAAGTAAAGATTTATTTATTTATTTGAAAGGCAGAGTTACAGAGAGGGAGAGACAGAGACAGAGAGATCATGCATCCACTGGCTCACTCCCCGGATGGCCACAACAGTCAGGGCTGGACCAGGCTGACGCAGGAGCCTGAAACTCCATCCGGGTGTCCCATGTGGGTGTAGGGGCTTCCACTCTACTTTTCCAGGTGCATTAGCAGGGAGCCAGATCAGAAGTGGAGCAGCTGGGGCTTGAACTGGCGTTCTTGGGATGCCAGGTCAGCTCAACCAGCTGCAGCACCATGCTGGCCCCTAATATGCTCTTTTTAAGATGAGGAAATGGAGGGCCGGCGCCGCTGCTCACTAGGCTAATCCTTGTGGCGCCGGCACACCAGGTTCTAGTCCCGGTTGGGGCGCCGGATTCTGTCCTGGTTGCCCCTCTTCCAGGCCAGCCCTCTGTTGTGGCCTGGGAGTGCAGTGGAGGATGGCCCAGGTGCTTGGGCCCTGCACCCCATGGGAGACCAGGATAAGTACCTGGCTCCTGGCTTCGGATCAGCGCGGTGCGCCGGCCGCAGTGCACGGGCCGCGGTGGCCATTGGAGGGTGAACCAACGGCAAAGGAAGACCTTTATCTCTGTCTCTCTCTCTCACTGTCCACTCTGCCTGTCAAAAAAAAAAAAAAAAAAAAAAGAAAGAAAGAAAAGAAATGGAGAGGAATACATGAACAGAGGGTTAAGTGGGATGCCTCAGGTTGCACAGGCACCCCGACAGTCCACGTTCTTAATCACCATGTCATGCCTCTCCTCTTCAAATCCTTGTTCGCTTATCTACTTGCGTTGTCTTGAGCTGCCCTGTGTGCCCGGCTCTGGCTGGGCCCAGGGGCTGCATATCTGAGGCTCCATCTTGGCGTCTTCTCTCCACAGCGCCTCCGACAGCTCATCACCCCCGACCCGAGCCTGCCACAGCCCACGCAGCAGCTGCGTCTGGACAGCGGCCCTGGCCAGGACCGCAGGCCGTCCCCAGCGAAAGAGGGACTCGTCACCGTGGAGAAGGAGACTCACTTGTAGGACGTGGCCAGAGGCCGGGTGGTCCCTGGACCAGGAACTTAGGTCAGGGCCACCCTGCGCCCCTGGAGACAGCCGCTGCCTCCGTTTCCCCAGCACAGCTTCTCAGACAAGCTCTGGGGCGCCCCCTGCAGATGGCCGCTTGTAGACCTCGAGGTCCTTCCTGACGGTCCAGGCAGTCCCACCGGCCATCCTGCTTGTAACCCACCGCCCTGACTGCACGGATGAGAAACCGAGGACCCAAGAGACACAGTGACGTTTTCAGAGTCAGGGACAGGACCGTGCCCCGGCCCCCTGTGCTGAAGCGGGTGGCACTGCTGTCACACCCTCCTGCCTTAGCTAACAAATGTGTGTGGATCTCCTGCCACTGCCTGCTGCTGCTCCGTCTCACTGTCCTGGGGTGGGAGCACAGAGGTCCTGTCTCTCCTGGGGGAGGGCCCTCCCCAGATTGGCGCCCCTGCCTGAGTATCTTCACTTCCGGTTCAGCCTCCTCTGACCAGACTTCCCCTCTGGACCCTGTAGTTCTTGCCGTCTGCCCCTTCTCTCCTCTAGGGGCCGACATGGGGCCGTGAGAGAAGCAGGCGGCTGTTGCTACCATGCCTGCTCCGTGTCTTCCTCACCCCCCTGCTCCCCTTCCACACAGCCCTCCTCTGCCCACGCCCCCGCAGACCACTGCAGTCCTGGTCTGGCTCTGGAGGGCTTCCTGGGGGAGGAAGGCAGGGTCTGGATAAGTTCCAGGCTCTTGTGTTCAGAGGGAAGTGGGAGAGGTGAGAGGGTGGAGCGCTTCCGGACAGTGTCCTGGGAGGGGAGAGTGCATGGAGCGGTGTGCCCCAGAGGCAGGGGACTTAGTGTAGGGTCTTAGATTGTGAGGGCACACCTTCTGACACACTGGGCACAGGCAGGTGTCCCCGCCCCGGCTTCACGGTCCCTCTGCACTGCTCTGTGCACCTGTGCTCAGCCTTCTTGGAGCTGCTGGGGGCAGGAGGGAGACCCAGGAGCAAGGCCTGGAGGAAAAGTGTTTCAGCCTTGCGCTGCATTCAAGACACAGCCTAGGGGGACAGGAGGGTGTGGCTGGCAGGGTGCTCGCTGCTGCCTCCCGGTGGCGGAGGGGAGCAGCACACGTGCCCTGTGCATCTCAGATACCCTGCCGCACTCAAGTGGTGGTGGTGGGGTCGCTGAGCTGGGTGGGGGGTGAGCACTGCTCTCCTGCGCTGTGGAAGTGCGCCTCCTGTGGACGGCTGAAACCTCCTGCGTCCTTCGCGCTGGGTTCCAGTGCGGAGTGGTGGCGATGGCGTCCCCCAGGAGCGAGTCTCTGGCTGGGGGGCAGCCTCAGCTGCTGAGGTCAAGCAGCCGCCTTTGCAACCACACAGCCCCGTTTCCGTGGTGGGCCAGTTGGGGCACAAGCTGGACGCAGCCCCCAAGCCCTGTGGACACTCTCAGAGACTGTGGACACCGCTGCTCGCTCCCCTTTGCCCCATGCACGTTCTCTGAGCTGCTCCAGGCCCCGGCTCTCGGCTCTCAACCTACAAGGCTGGAGGGAGGCCGACCGGGCCACTTCCTCCCTCCTCTCTTCCATTCTCTGCTGGTTGGGGTGGGACGGGGCGGGGGTGGGGCTTGGTGGAAGAGGGAGTGGGGGGGAGGGGACATCAGGGCAGCGTCCCGGCCTACAGGGACCCACTCATCAGACCCACAGTGTGGACAAGCAGCAGCAGTTTTTCTCTTGAGAGTGTGCACTGTGTACACACATGTGTGTGTGAGGAGCAGCGGGTGTGTGTGTGTGTGTGTTTATCTCACTCCCAGGCTTTTGGGGTTTCAGACTGGTGGCCAGAGGCCTATTCCGGCAGCTTTATTTGGCCTCCTGCCCCCAGCTGTCACCAACCTGGGGGCCAGGTGGAGGAAGCCCTGGCTGATTGATGCAACCTCAGGAGGCCTTGAGCCACCACGGTCCCTCCAAGTGCGCCCTCTGTTCCTGCCCTGTGGCCGCAGACAGGAAATGTGTGCGGTGGCTTCCAGCCACTGAGGTCTGGAGTGGGGTGTGCGGCAGCAGTGCGTGCCTGACACCAGCCCTTGGCCGCCCTGAGGATGGGAATGGCCCTCTTTGGGGGTGGGGAGGGGTCAGGTGTGGCCCCAGCAGAGGTGAGCGCAGCACCCGGGAACGAGGGGAGCCCCGTGGCACCCTTCCTGTCTGAGTCCTTTCCTTGCCTCCCACTTCCTTGCTTCTTCTGTCCCCTGGAGGCCCTCTGCTGCCCCTGACTCGAGCCCTCCTCCTCGCTCTGGGCAGGTGGGGCCGCCCCCGCCCTGCTGCGTGCTCACGTGCCCGGCTCCCTGCTGATTGAGCCCACGTGGCCTCCCTGCGGGTTCGGCTGCTCTCAGTGAAGTCACAAGGGCTGATTAGGTCTGACAGGGATGAAAAGCTTGTTGTTAACCATCCATGGATGCAGCGAGGCCAGGGGAGGCCACGCGTGCAGGGGGAGGATGGGAGGGCAAGGGACGGACGAGAGCCAGGCCTGGCAGGCCAGGGCCCTGGCATGGCATCCTGCATTCTGGCCCTCTCTGTGTCTAGTCTGATGCCAGCAGGTCCCTGGGCCAGGGAGGCAGCTCTGGAGTCGTGGAGCCCTAGGCAGCGGGGAGCGCGCACTCCCTCTCTACACTGAATCCTCAGGGCCTCCTGCAGGATCAGTGCCCAGCCCCACTGCCCTCCCAGGGCTCTGGCCACCGCGTCTCCACCCACAGCGGACTCCCCAACCTGCCGAGGTCGGCGCAGGCTAGCATGGAACCCCAGGCCTGAGGCTCGAACCCCCACTGGCCCATTCCAGCAATGCCAGGGCTGCTCCTGGTAGGGAGACCCTCCGCGGCCACAGTCATTGCTCCTTGGGACCCAGGAGAGAGCAGCCGCCAGGGCAGCCCTTGGCCAGCCAGCTGGCAGGACGCTGGGCCCCTGGGGCCCACAGCCCCTTCCTCTGCACTTTGGTTTTCTCCCGATTCTCCTGGACCTTTTACATAAGCAGTCGGACTGGAAATCACCACGGTTGTATTTCTCTGATCGTCGAATCCTTTTATTCTCTCCTCTCGTCTTTCTGCATGAGGCGGTGAGCTGGGTCCTGGGTGGCAGCCAACCCCTCCACCTCCTTCCTCGTCTTGACGAGAATCCTAATATTTCGCATCAAATATGAGGGCCAACATGGAGTTTTTTAGGCCGCATTTATTAGGCTATGAAGTTTTCTTCTGTTGCAAGTTTGCTGAGGTTTTTGTTTCAAATCAAGAATAAGGGTTGAATTTTATTGATTGCTCTGTGTCTCTATTGAGATGATCTTATTGGTTTTTTTCCCTTTATTTTGTTAGTGGGATGAATTATATTCATCAATTTTCCTAATATTTGACCAACTTTTGGTCTCTGGGACAACTTACCTCGGTCATGGTGTAACATTTATGGGTTATTCAATGCTAGTTTCAGTTTGTTAATATTTTGGTTAGAATTTTTGTTTTTATGCTCCTAAGCAAAATTGGCCACAATTGTCTTTGCCCATAGTGTCCTCGCCGGCTTTGGCTTTTTAAGGTTATGCTAGGTCCATAAAAAGGAGGTTGGCAACATTCTCTCTATCCCTCGTTTCTGAAAGAGTTCAGATGAGATTGGCCCGTGTGTTTCTGGATGAATGGTGGGCTTTTGTACAACTGTCTGTCCTGGTTGCGTGTGGGTTCTTTGCCTTTAACTGTTGCTATGTTAATAACGGGAGCGGGAGAAGGAGGAGGAGGGGGGAGAGGAGGGAGAATGAGAAAGGACGAATGAGCTCCTATGCACTGGTTCATCCTCCAAGTGTGGCAGGCCAGGGCTGGGCCTGCAGGCTGGAACTCAGCTCAGGTCCTGCTCGCGAGTGGCAGGAACCCAACAGGGGGGCCATCACTGTGGCCTCCCTGGGTCTGCATCAGCAGGGTACTGGACTCAGGAGATGGAGTGGAACCCAGGCAGCTGCTCCCAGCAGCCAGGACTGGGATGCGGGTGTCTTGACCAACATCTTAACTGCTAGGCCAAATGCCTGGCTCCACGTGTAGGTTCCTTTTTTTGGGTGGGGGTGGGGCTTATGAACTTTGAACTACATATTCAAATTTCTTCATTGACTGTATGTCTCAAATTTTCCACTTATTCTTATGCAACGCTTGGGGAGACATGAGGGAACTTCAAAATGTTCATGGAGTCACTAGGGGAGTAGCCAGAACCAGCGAGAGGCGCCGGGCTCGCGGACCGCCGACATGCCCTTGGCTAGAGATTTACTCCATCCCTCTTTGGAGGAGGAAAAGAAGAAACATAAAAAGAAACGGCTAGTTCAAAGTCCGAATTCTTATTTTATGGACGTAAAATGCCCAGGTTGCTACAAGATCACCACGGTTTTCAGCCATGCCCAAACAGTGGTTCTTTGTGTAGGCTGTTCTACAGTTTTGTGCCAGCCTACAGGAGGGAAGGCCCGACTCACAGAAGGCTGTTCCTTTAGAAGAAAGCAACACTAGTGACCCACACAACCTCCTGGATTTGTGTTCTCACAGAAAGCCTTATCATAAGTTCAGTGATTCTAGTGAATCTACTAAGATAATGTAATTTTGTTTGATTTTATAAGGTATACAAGTTATCCCCTATTTTGATGTCAGTTTTTCAATAAAGTTTTGATTATGGGCAAAAAAAAAAAAATGTTCATGGAAAAATGGAAGTAAAAGTGTGAGTCTATTTTGGTGCAAATTTTTCCATAGTACATGAAAATGCATGTTATGAAAACATTATGCACGTATCTCAATTCTTCTGCATCAAAAAATAAATGCCTGCTTTCGGTTCCAACCCTTGTGTTTGTGTAAGGTTGTGCTCATCCCATGAAGGTGGCTGTACGTCGAGCCACGAGGTTTGCAGTTAACTTGTAATACGCTGTCTGCGCACCGCTGGCAGTCAGCTCTCTGCCCCTCTCTCGCGGTCAGCGGCATCAGAGCTTCGGCCTTTGGGAGAATGACTTTCTGACTTGATAATCCTTCAGACTGTCTGCGAATTTTCTGCTTACACTTCCTGCTTTCGTCTTTATTCTCACGGCTTTTGTCTTCCTCCTACTGCTCTGGGTTTGTCCTGCTGTCCTTTTTGTGACTTTTTCAGCCTTGAACTAACAAACCCAGGAGGCTACCCTCAGGGGAACTTCTGTGCCCTGAGGGCTGGAAGGAGAGGGGGTTGGGAGCTTTGGGGAGGGAAGAGGTGAGGCAGGTCTGTCTAGCAAGTGGGAAACTGTTGGGGGGGGGGGAACTGTTGGACAACCTCCCCTGAGGTTGTCCTCAAAGTTTTTCCCAGAGTCAGGGCCAAGGTCATGGGAGCAGGAACTGCCCAGGTGCCAGGGACCCAGCTGGGGAGTTGGGCTGCCTGGTCCCCTGCGGGGGTGTGCAGCAGGGTGGGGTGAGCCGCGTTCCCATCCTCCCTCCCAGCACCCACACTGCGGCTCTCCCATCCTCCAGCCACATTCAGAGTGGAATTTTCCTGGTGGGACCAGTTCTGGACTGGCAGATGTCAGCTGGGTCTCGCGTCCTCCAGAAGGGACAGCCCCCTGCCTGCAGCAAGGGCACAAGGACCCTTGCCCCCTGATGTGGCCTCTCCCCTCCTCACCCCACCCTGGAGCTGCATCTGGGACCCCAGCTGCCACCGCCCGCCCCGTGGGTGGGAGGGAAGGAGTTTGTGGGGTGGGAGGAGTTGCTTGAGGGGTCCGAGGGACAGGGAGAGGGAACAGGGCGGGCTGGCAGCCCCAAGGGTCCCAGGGCCAGGCAGAGGGACACACACGAGTGCCCCTCTCAACGCTGCTTCCGCTCTGGGCCTGGGAAGGTCCCAGCCTTGGCCTGCTGCCCCCCGCGCTGCAGCTGTCTCTGTTTGTAGTGCCTTCCTGCAGGACACCACAGGGCTGGGCGGCCACTTCCTGTCACCCTGGGGTCAGCAGGCACTGATGGATGTGACTCCTGGAAAGCCAGGATCACAGCCAGCATGGTCAGGCAGCGCCGGCCGCACCGGGGACACAGCAATCTCGCCTTGCTCTGGTTTGCTGGAGTTCCTGCGTCAGTGGGCAGGACTGTCCTGCCAGAGCCCAGTGGGAGTGGCCACAGGGCCCCTGGCATCGGGAGCCAGAGTGCCGTCTGCACAGACTCAGGCCCCGCACTCACAGCCTCCTCAGCGCCCCCTGTCGCTGGTGTCTGTCTAGGGCCTACTTTGGGGGCCTGCGGCCTCCTGTAGGGGCTGCCCCTGACCCCTTACCTGGATGTGTCCCTGCGGCTCCTTCTTTGCTCGGTCTATGACCATCTGCTTTTTGTTTTCTGGAAGACCAATTTTAGGATTTCCTAGATAAAAGTGGTTTTTAATTCCATATTTACACTTTGGTAAGAGGTATTTTTTTTTGTTTTGCTTTGTTTTGTTTTGGTTTTTAGATTTATTCATTTATTTGAAAGGCCAAGTTACAGAGAGGCAGAGGCATAGAGAGAGAGAAGGTCTTTCAACTGCTGGTTCACTCCCCAAATGGCCACAATGGCTGGAGCTTTGCTGATCTGAAGCCAGAAGCCAGGAGCCAGGAGTTTCTTCCGGGTCTCCCACATGGGTGTTGGTGCCCAGGGACTTGGGCCATCCTGGGCTGCTTTCCCAGGCCATAGCAGAGAGCTGGATCAGAAGTGGAGCAGCGGGGACTTGAACCGGTACCCATGCAGGATGCTGGCACCGCAGGCGGCAGCTTTATCTGCTACGCCACAGAGCCAGCCCAGTAAGAGCTTTTTATGTGAGTAAATTCACACACTATTGGCAGATTGTCCTGGTTTCCATCTCAAAACGACGTGCTCATCCATTGCTGCAGGGGTAGCCTCTGGTCACCTGGCCTTGGCCTTGCAGAGGCCTCCTGAGTGCTCTCCTAAATCCTCCCTCAGTCGGTCCATTTCTTGTTTAGCTTTGATACCTCCCAACCCCCAGTGTGGACTTGCCAGCCGGCTCTTCACTAGCGCCATTTCCAGCCCCCGCACTTGCCCGGGGGCCGCTGCATGGCAGGTGCTCAGCCGCTGGTGCAGAAGCCACTCTGGTGCTTAGCACTGGCCTCTCCTTCTGGCTCGGCTCGTGGCTCCCAGCCTGAAGCCCATGAATCCCAGGACACACCCTCGGTCAATGGGTCAGTGATGAGTTTCCACTCCCCACTCTGCAAAGGGTCTTACAAAGGGGATTGCCCTGAGCACAGTGCTGTGTCCCAAGGCAGAGGCCTGGACCGCCAAAGCGGTGCATCTCCGTAGAGGCCTCCCTCTCTCACCAGAAGGTTTGGAGAGAGCCAGTGGCTGTCTCACATCCCTGGCCAAGGCAGCAGGGGGTCCTTTTGGCCCTAGGCCCCTGTCCCAGGCCTGGGCAGAGCTGGGTTCTCTCCAGAGTGCTCTTAAAGGGCCAGTCTTCAGCTTCTTGGGTCAGAGAATTCCCAAGATGGGATAGGCCCTCGCTAGCCTCCGGTTTCCTCTGCAATTCCCCATTTCCTGGGAGGAGGAGGAGGAGGTCATGCTCCCTTCCCTCTTCCTTGGCCAGGAAACAAGGGGACCCAGCGGAGGGGTGCAGTCTGGGCTCCTGGATGGTCTAAGTTCTGCTCCGCAGGAGGGCCCTCTGTCCAGCTGTCCCAGGCCCGGCATCCTGGCCGGGTGCAGTGCCCTTGATGACTTAGGGTTGCTAGAAGGCTCTGCTCTCACCTCCTGTCTAGGAGAACCACTGTGTGGCCAGTGCCTGTCCACAGAGCTGAGCCGGGCACACTAGCCCAAGCCCTTCCTCCTGTCATAGCCTCCTTCCCAATCTGCCTCCCTTCCAGCAGGAGACCTGGCACACAGCAGGGTTTGCTAAATTGCTCTCTGTGGCTCCATGCTTTTCCCCAGCCACGTTCCCCTAATCCTCACCCCTCCACTGCAGGCAGCTCGTGCCCAGGGTCTTGGCAGATTTGGTCTCAGACCTTGGGAGCTGCCCTCAGGGGCAAATCACCAGAGGCTACTGGTCAGCCCTGACCCGGGGACGGCTTCCCTCGCCCCCAACACACCATTGCTCTCCACTGCAGCCAACGAGGCAGGCCGCAGGGGTCCACACTCGCACCACCTGCAGCTCGCATACACTTTGGCTGGCACCTGCCCCCTCTGCTGGCTCTGTGGGTGCCACGGGCATGCTGGTGGGGGCCAGGCAGGCCTCACAAGCCATTAGTTTTCTGGTGCTTCCCCCCAGCTCTGCCCTTGCGCTCATCCCTCAGCCAGGCCTCTTTTAGTTAAGACAGCAACGGGTCACAGCAATGCCTGCCATTGCGCTGTCCTGGGACCAAAGCACCACACATGTGCAGACACCCCAGGCTCCGACCCGCAGCTCCGGGGCTGTCAGCAGCTGTTTTTCCTGCCCAGCGAGAGGTTCCGATAGGCCCCTCCCCTGGGGGCATAGAAGACACCGACACAGTGCGCTCAAGTGACATATTTCAATATAATCTCTAAAACTCTATGAATTGGACAGATAAAATACCTCTGGGCTATTTTGTTACAAAATATTTGCCATTTGGATTAGTTGCTGGGTGCAGCCACCCCACCTTTCCCCAGAGAGGTTTCTCTCCAATGCGGGTGGAGGGGAGGGTGTGCGCGGGAGGAGTGCAGGTCTGTACAGCGGACATGGGGACAGACGGAAGGACAGATGGGAGTCTCGAAAGCCTGCTGGGCATGACAGAATGCCTGGCAGGCTCTGAGGGGACAGGCGCCTGGGAAGTCAAAGGCCCAGGGCCAATAAATGGGTGGGGGAGCAAAACGCCTTTGGAGACAGACAGATGGACAGACGGACAGACAGATGGGAAGGCAGACTCCCAGGACAGACTGCCAGGACAAGGCCCTTGGGTCTGGAAGAGGGACCTGTCCCCACAAACGGGCAGGAAAGCTAACATTTTCTCCCACTCTGGGTTGTGGACTTGGCCAAGTGGATAAACTGGGAGAGAGAGGGATCCGGGTGCTGTGGAGTAAGGCCTGGGGGGTGGGCCGAGGGTCGGGGCTCAGCCAGCACCCTCCATGGGCCCTCTAGGAGGCTGGAGGCCCTGACATGGCCCTGACATGACCACAGCCACCGAAGGGGCAGAGGCTTCTGCCAGGCCTCTGGGAAGAGGGGTCCAGGCAGGTACCCACTTAGCCTGCTGGCCACTCAGGGCAAAAGAGCCACAGCTGCCTGGGGCTCTGGTTTCCCCTGACAGTGGGGAGGGTCAGATACAGCCCCCCCAGCCCCCTTTGGCCACCGGGAGGTAAGCACCACCCCCAGTGTGGTGCGTGCAGAAGCAGCTGTGGACCCTGCGAATCCCAGCCCCTTGAGCCGCCAGCCGCAACTCACCATGGGCAGGCGGGGCGGTGGTGGTGGTGGGGCACCGAGGGCCTCTGCGGGTCCCCACCAGGGGGGCAAGGGGGGACTGTCAGCAGGGGAGCCGGGCACTTGGTGAGCTTGAAGCAGAGTGTGAGCCGGCGACGAGGGCCCTGGCTGTGGGTTCTGGGCTGGCTGAGGCTGAGGCTGGCTCTTTCCTCCGCAGCCACGCCCCCTCCCCACCCCTCCCCCACCTCGGCCCACTCTCTGTGCCCACCACTTCCTCCCTGTTCGTATTTCCCCTCCACTTCCAGGCCCCTCATTCGAGACAAATCTGCTCTCAGGCCACTGCTGCACTTTCTCCCACAGCCCTAACACCTGCTGCCCCAGCCAAAGGCAGCAGAGGCCTCTGAATCCCGGCGCCCCTTGTGCCAGCTGCTCTGTTAGGGGCTCTGATTGGAACACCCAGTGACAGAGGAGTCCCAGGGGGAGGGGCAATGGCTGGGAAGCGGAGGCGTGGGCGGGGGTGGGGACTAGAGGGGGACGACAGGAGATTGGCTGAACGTGAAGGAACCTGGGCTGACAAAGACAGGGCCAAAAATAAGCTTGCTGGGTGACATCGTACTGACGTCTGGGTGACCACACAGACACACATGAAACTAGGTCATGTAGAACCTCGGTGAGCCAGGAATTGTCCACGCCTCCTACCCGGCCCAGGGCACTGCAGCCTGGGGAGCCGGTGGGGGCTGGGAAGAAGCAAATCCACCTTGGACTTGGTTGATGTTTGCTGCTGTCCCCCAAGAGGCATTACCAATGGGCTCCGAGCGGGAGGGAGCCTTAGCAGGGAAGCTAGGAGCTGCTGGCGCGGGCCCGGGGAGTCTGGCCCAGCGGGGCTGGACACTGCTGAACAGTCTGTGCAGGGCACAGGCTGCGGTGCTGCCCATGGGGTCTTTGGAGGCGGCTGCCTCTCATCTGGCCGGGGAGGGGTTTGCACCCCATCATACCCAGCCCTGGCAGGCCCGCGAGCCCTGCTTGGCTCTGCAGTTTTCAGGGTGCCCGGACCTCTGCTGGAGGTGGGTCTGGTACCTTCCAGAAGGAGGAAGATTTGAGGGGCAGCAGGGGAGATACAGGTGCCTCGGGAGCTCCCGCTTCTCTCACCCACATCTGCACCCAGCCTTTGTGGAGGCCACAGAAGGTACACAAAAGGGAGGTCCAAGCCAGGTGAAGTCCCACCTCCTCAGGGCGAATCGACCTCCCTCACCCCTTTTCTGCTTCCACAGTGGGCAAAGTTAACCTGGCTCTCCTGTGTGCACTTGGTGTTGTTGGGTAGGGAACCAAGAAACTTGGAAAAAGGTGCCTTTGGCAGGTATCTGATCTGGGGATTCCAGGGCCGTGTTCAGCTGGCTTTGACAGAGCTGAGAGCACTCCCACCCCCTCCTCTGCTTCTCAAAGCCTTTCCTGGAGTCTGGTGGGCAGGACCAGTGTCCCTGGAGGTGGAGGAGCAGCCTTCCGAGACGGCCAGGCTCCAGGGAATGGGGGCAGCTGAGAAAGCCCCCTTCTTCACAGCGGCCCCTCCAGGGAGCTGAGGCCATCCTGTGAGGCCACAAATACAGCTGTCCTGGGGCTGAGCCGAGCCTGCCTTCCACCCAGGGCGCCACTGCTGTGCCCCCCAGCCCCTTGCTCCTGCCCACCAGCCCGAGGCCCCTGGATGCTAGACACAAAGCCTCAGCTTATCTTCCAACCACGGTTCCAACTGGGGAGAGGGATGGCCCTGTCTCATCTGGCTGTGTGGGGCCCAGGAGCATGAGCTGGTTGTGTGTGTGCATGTGTGTGTGGCTCACCTGTGTAAGGGAGGGATAGTGGGACCAGGCAAACCCAGTGCTGGGGGTTGGGGTTCTCTTTCCAAAACAACAGTGACCAATGACCTGGAACGTGTGGTGCCAGGGTGTGGGGAGCAGCAATGGTGGCCCTATGGGACAGACAGCAGGGTGTCTAGGGCAGAGTCTACACCAGGCTCCTGGAGCCGCTGGAGTAGCGGCGCCGGTGCAGCAGGGAGCCGGGTGGGCAGAACTGGTGGGGGTGGTTGTAAGGGGGTGGGGGTGGGGGCAGCGGAGGCTGGTGGATGACCTTGACCGGGGAGCCTGGGCCGCCCAGGGGTGTGGAGCCGCAGGAGTCGGAGGAGGATGAGGCGTAGCAGGAGAGGGCCTGGCTCAGCAGGGGTTCCATGCGGGCCAAGCAGGGCTTGTCCAGGACAATGACCTTGACGATTTGCTGGCACTGCACCAGCGTGCCTGGGGGAGTGGGTGGTGGCGGCGGCGGCGGCGGCGGCAGCGGTGTGGGTGGCGGGGGCTGCTCTCTGGCCGGGCTAGGCTGCAGGTCTGGCTGCGGTGGTACCGGCACGCCCCTCTCGGCCCCCAGCCCGGAGCTGTGCTGGGACGATTGAAGCCTGTTGTGAATTGACACCTAGTTTAGAAACAGCCAGAGAAGCATGAAATGTTACAAGACTACTTCCCAGCTGCTGGGGCTGGCTACCCTGAGCCTCCCTCGGGCCTCCCTCCTTCTCCCGTTTCCTGCTGCCCTCAGGTGTTCTGAGCCCTCACTGGAATCCTCTCCCCACCGCCACACAGAGGGAAGCTGGGTGCTGACCCTCGCTGGTCTCCAGGGGCTATGTCCTGGCCTCAGCTGCCTCATCTGAGAGAAGGGCCTCTGCACAGCCCAGCAGTCTGGCCTCGTGGGCTGCACGGTGGCCCTGGGCCATCAAGCTTGTCCTGCTTCCCTCTCGCTGAACTGCAGCTTGGGAAGCAAGCAGCGTTACTGGACCTGCCCCTTGCTTCCTGCCTGCCCAGGACAATGTTGACCCGGGGACAGTCAAGCAGTTTTGAGCCTTTCCAGTCAGCTTGGTTAACGAGGAAGCCTCATTGGCACAGTTGCCCTCATAAAGGCACCCAAACCCCAGAAGGCCAGGGACCCCAGAAAGGGTGATCCGGACCTACCCCTCCCTCCTGGGCTCCCCAGGGCCAGGCCTGTACATTCCATAGTAGCTCAGAGAGCTGAGGGCAGAGTCAGGGCCCCAGCTGCTTCTCTCGCCAAGCTTGGTCCTGGTTAAATCAGCAGAGAGGACCCTAATCTTCTCCCTGGCTGGAGCACGAGGGGGTGGCCCAGATGGAGCTGTGCGCCCCACCCTGAGACGGGTCAGTGTGGAAAGCTCGGCCTCGTCCGGCCAGCAGCAGGAGGTGGAGCGAGTAGGCAGATGGGGGGGAGGGGGGCGGCTAGAAGATTCTGGAAGGCAGAGGATTTAATTCTGTCCCCCCTCCCCCACCAGTCCTCAGCCTATAGCCAGGATGCATCGCAATCCCCTGGGAAGACCCCAGCCTTTCTGAGGATGCTTCCGGTGCACAGGTGCAGGCTGCTCAGAGCACATGGAGAAACTGAGGCCACCCGGCAGGCGGACTGAGTCCTGTGGACTGGCTAACAGTGTGACCGCAGGGCCCCTGCCGGGATTCTGCGCTGCTCTCGAGGCTCCCTGGGTCCTTGCCCGCCCCCTTGACCGTCACAAGCCCCTGCAGCCACATTCAGCACTTGGGCGCTTTCTTCCTCCTTCTCGGCCTCCAACCTCAGCAGCACTTCCCAGGCCTGAATCCTCCTGCCCTGCCAAGACACACGGCAAGCAGGGGCTGGGCTGGGGGCCACGTCTGCCCAGGGGTGCCCCCTATGGCCCCCATCCGTGGCTGGGGCAGAACATCGCTGTGGCTGCTGCTGCTGGGGGGCAGGGCTCCCTTCCCCACTTGCTGGTCAGGCTTGTGCCTCATTTGCAGAGCATGGACGCCCAGCCCACCCCCACTGCCGCCCTCTGAGGGTCTTTCTCCTCCTCCCCTGCGGCTCCTCTGTGGCCCAGGCTCCCTTCGGCTTCATCTTGCACCTGCTCAGCACTTCTCGTGTCCCAACTCCCTTTCTCCCCTCGGCATCTCTGTCTCCACCCTGGCAGGGACCATTTGTCTCTCAAGGTCAGGAAGTGAACAGCAGGAAGTGACAGCAAACACCTCTCCTTCTAACCCCCTTCTCACCTCCCTGCTCATAAAGGAGAGAGAGATAGACAGACAGAGAGAGGAGAGCAGAGGAGAGGGAGGAGAGGAGATGGGGCATGGGCAGCGGGTCAGAACAGCTCAGAGAAGATGGAGAAGCGCCTGCCAGAGGGGCACGGCCAGGCAATGAGGGAGACAGGGCAGAGGCCGCGGCAGCTCAGGTCCAGCTGAGAGGCGAGGGGCGCGGGGCTGCCCTCTGTGTGGGAGAGCACAGGCTGCGGGCCCTGGAGCTGGCTGAGGGCTGGCAGCCTTGCAGATAGCCACGGGGGCCTTCGGGGCAGGGGCAGGAAGACGGGCAGCCCAGGCTGAGGCATGGGCAGGGTGGGTGGGCAAGCTGGAGGGCTGGCAACTTGGCGTGTTTATCTGCAAGGCCAGAGCATGGGCGGTGGCGCGGGAAGGATGGGGGAGGGGACGGGGCTGGAATACCCACCCTGGGGGCTGGTCAGCTGCTGGGACAGGAAGCTCCTCCGTGTCAAGGTGCCTCCTCCAGACAGGGCTGTGTGGGGCGTGGGGGCCGTGGGGACAGAGAAGCTGAGCTGCCCGGGGTGGGAGGAGTGGCGGGGGACAGTCCTGCTGCTTCCTAGGGCTTAGGCTGGGAGGGCCAGGCTCCTCCCTCGGCCGTCTTAGTGGGGTCCCTCCAGCTTGTAGTGGGGGTTGGGAAAAGAGCAGCTATGTGAGTAGCTGGCGCACCCCCGCCCCAGGCCTGGCCTGAAAGGAGTACGGGTGGCGGTCATGGGGGTGAAGGGGATCCGCTGAGGTGGGGGTGTCCCGCGGGGGCTGGCTGCCACCATTCCCTCTCCCCAAATCCCTTCCATGTGGTCCGGGGATGGGCACCCTGTCCCTTCCAACATGGACATGCTGCAGATGGATCAGCGTTGTCTGGAAGCCCTAAGCCAGCCCCAGATGCACTTTGGCTCTTCTGCACACCTCCGGCCCCAGCTAGCTTTCCAGAAGCCCGGTCCTTCCCAGCTGCCCCCACTCGCACGTCCCGGCTTCCCCAAGACACATCCAAATGGGCAGGTCTGCCCCAGAACTGACTGCCTGGGGACTTGATTTGAGTGGTAACTCTCAGAGGGAGCCCAGATGAGGACAGAGCGACTTGGGGAGGGGATGGGGGTTCTCCGAGATAGCAAGCACTGGGGAGCACTGGGTGCTTTGCTGGGGAAGCAGGCGTGTGGGGGGTGTGGCCTTGGAGGCTTCACCGCCATGACGTCAGACTGGGAGCTGGGTCCCGGAGGGCAAGGGGCTGGGGAGTGGGGCCAGAGTGCTTGCAGCTTAACTGGGCACTGGAACAGTGGTGAGACCCATGCTAGCAGTAACTTTTAATTGTGTCTCTTGAAATTGGTAAAATGGTGAGTCGGGCTGGGGAGGCATTGATTAATACCTGAGAAGAGAAACAACACAGATGGTGAGAAGAGGGAGCAGCGGGGCACGGGATCACTCACCTGGGCGACCAGGCCTCCACTTACCTCCACCGGGCTCTCCGCTGGCTTCTCCCCGATGGCCGCTTCCCTTTTGGCTTTGAATGCAAACAGCACAGGGGCTCATTCTCCACCGGTCCCAAGGAGCCCTGCCGCCTGCCCCTGCCCTGCCATGGCCACTGGCCGCCAGTGAGGGCGGCAAGACCTCCAGCATAGAGGCCCCTCTGTAGCTGTGCAGCCCTGGGTAGGATACTGCACTTCTCTGGGCCTCCGTAGACCAGAAGATCTACGGATCTTCTGGCATGGTTGAGTCCAATAAACCCCCCCACCAATATAGGCTGTGCAAGACTTGGGGGGCATGCATGGGGACCCTTCTTTATTCCTGTCCTTGTGACTTCCTGTGACCAAGCGGGGGCCTGCACAGTAAGAGCTGATAACGGCTCTGCCATTACAGCCAGGGCCTTCCGACTGGCCTGGAGAAGCAGCAGGGAGCCCGCAACCCCCAGGGGCTGAGCACTCTTTCTGGCTAAGTCAGTCCTGCCTTCTACCTCCTCCCCCAGCAAGCCCCTGGGGTTTCTCCATGCCTGACTTCCCCTCTCTGAGCTCGGCCACACGAGAGGCAGCCTGGCCATTGTTGGGGACTGAGAAGCATCCCACTGTGGCGGTGACTGAGGCACATGCAGGCCCTGGGGACAGGCGAGCCTGGTTGTGGCTTTCCCCCGAGACAGGCTGGGGACGCTAGGAATGAGTCACGGCTGAGGATTGGCCCTGGGGTTCAGACGGTTGTGAATAGCAGAAGTTCCCCAGGTCCTGTGGCCTCATAGAAATCAAGGGGCCCACTGGTACCAGGCACGGTGGGGATGACGAACACTGGTGGCAGGTAAGATGCCCCCACACCAAGAATCCCCACCCAGCACAGAGGGCCACGGTCCTCCTTAGAAAATGGATCCTGTGTCCCAGCTGGTGTCACAAGTGTTTGAGCTGCTGTCCGTCCTATGCCTGGTGTCAGGGCCATCTGCTGAGAGCCCAGACCCCGTGGGAGCTCCTGGTGTTACTCAGCTGGAGCTGGGGTCTCGCAGCAGGCACTCAGCCGGGGCTGGCTGAATTGGCTGATGGTTCTAGATAGTTTTCTGGGGATGGGATTTAACTCTTACACCATCTCCTGCTTCTGATTCCTTTTTATCTGGGGCTGGTGAGACGTGGAGGTGGGTAAGGTTAGGAGCAGCAGGTAGAAAGGAGGGAGCTGGCTGGTCTGCAGAGTGTGGCCCAGGAAACACCAAGTGCCAAGCTGCCCTCCCTGGTCTGGAATGCTTCATTGCACCAACTGAGCAGTGCCACTTGAGAAACTGAGTTTGGGGCTCATCTGCATTTGGGAGCAGGCTGCCCTGGGCCCGGGATTAGAGAGTGCTGATGGCGCATCTGGGAAGGGACTCCCAGGCCAGGGCAAACTTTCCAGGCCCTTCTGGCCACCCTGCTCTTGCCTGGGACTCGTGGCCTGACTCCTCCAGGGCAGATGCTGACATTCCACACGGGCTCTGCAATGCTGGTGTAGCTGGCAAAAGGCAGGCATTTCTCACACACCTTCCCCCTCTCTGCTACCCATGGGATTAAACAAAGGAAACCAAGGGGTGGGCATTTGGCCCTAGTGGCTAAGAGGCCAGTCACGACACCAAATCGGAGGACCTGGGTGCAGTTCCTGGCCCCTGGCTCCTGACTCCAGCATTCCTGCTCATGCTCGCCCTGGGAGGCAGGTGGCCAAGCCCAGGCCCCGAGTGCAGGCTCACCTGTAGGCGATCCTTGCTTCGACTGTGAGTCTGCCTGGGCTCCCCCGGACCTGAAGGAGAGCGTCTTTGTTCCTCGCTGCTTCTCCAGCTCCCCTGAGGAAGGGAGAGACCAGTGACCAGAGAGAGAAACCTGGAGCTCAGCCACCTCGAGGAGAGCGAGGAAGTGAGGCGAGAGCAGCAGAGGAGGCCGGGACCTCCCCCTGCAGTCCCCCCACCCCCAACTGTGGGCCACACGACACAAACCAGCATCTGACAGCAGCACTCGATGGTGCCCTTCTCGGAGCCTGTCCACGGGGACGATGCCCCTGCTGGGCCGTAGCAGGCGGGACGTCCTCGTTCTGACACGTCCTGCCTGCATGGTTTTGGGACATCCTGCCTTAGGGAAGCCTTGTGTGTGGCTAGCGCGCCACATCTGCCAGCTTCCAGGACAACGCACGAGGCACTTGGCACAGCAGCCTTCGTCACAGTGGGTGGCAGGCATCAGCCCGCAGTGTGGCGGCTGGCCTGAGCCCGCCCCAGCCAGCTGAGCAGCGCAGCCTCTTCCAGCTCTCCTAAGCAGGAGATCCAGAGGCCTGAGGGCATCTGTCTTGGTACGCAGCCCTGCTCCTCTCACTGGACTGCAAATTGGGTCATGTGTGTGCTTGCCGTGGCAAGAGCTGCCCTGTCACCGTCCGTGGGGACCTGACCATGGACACTAACCCCCTGACCATGGACACTCACCCCTGACCACAGACACTAACCCCCTGACCACAGACACTAACCCTCTGAACAGACACTAACCCTCTGAACAGACACTAACCCTCTGAACACAGACACTAACCCCGACCACGGACACTAACCCCCTGACCATGGACACTAACCCTGACCACGGACACTAACCCCCTGACCATGGACACTCACCTCCTGACCACAGACACTAACCCCCTGACCACGGACACTCACCCCCTGACCACAGACACTAACCCCCTGACCACGGACACTAACCCCCTGACCACGGACACTAACCCCCTGACCACGGACACTAACCCTGACCATGGACACTACCCCGACCACAGACACTAACCCCCTGACCATGGACACTCACCCCCTGACCACAGACACTAACCCCCTGACCATGGACACTCACCCCCTGACCACAGACACTAACCCCCTGACCACGGACACTAACCCCCGGACCACGGACACTAACCCCTGACCATGGACACTAACCCCGACCACAGACACTAACCTCCTGACCACGGACACTAACCCCGACCACGGACACTAACCCCGACTGCGGACACTAACCCCCTGACCACGGACACTAACCCCGACCATGGACACTAACCCCGACCACGGACACTAACCCCCTGACCACGGACACTAACCCCCTGAACACGGACACTAACCCCGACCACAGACACTAACCCCCTGACCACGGACACTAACCCCCTGACCATGGACACTAACCCTGACCATGACACTAACCCCCTGACCACGGACACTACCCTGACCATGGACACTAACCCCGACCACGGACACTAACCCCCTGACCATGGACACTAACCCCGACCACGGACACTAACCCCGACTGTGGACACTAACCCCCTGACCACGGACACTAACCCCCTGACCACGGACACTAACCTCCTGACCATGGACACTAACCCTGACCACGGACACTAACCCCGACCACGGACACTAACCCCCTGACCACGGACACTAACCCCGACCATGGACACTAACCCCAACCACGGACACTAACCCCCTGACCATGGACACTCACCCCCTGAACACGGACACTAACCCCCTGACCACGGACACTAACCCCGACCATGGACATTAACCCCGACTGTGGACACTAACCCCCTGACCATGGACACTAACCCCGACCACGGACACTAACCCCGACCATGGACACTAACCCCATGACCACAGACACTAACCCCGACCACGGACACTAACCCCCTGATCATGGACGCTAACCCCGACCATGGACACTAACCCCGACCACGGACACTAACCCCGACCACGGACACTAACCCCCTGACCACGGACACTAACCCCGACCATGGACACTAACCCCCTGACCATGGACACTAACCCTGACCACGGACACTAACCCTGACCACAGACACTAACCCCTTGCTTCGGCTTCTCTTTTCCAGAAGACGTACTTCATGCTCCTTTTACTAAAGCTACTCTCCTGCCTGGGCTCTGTTTGCTGTCTCGAATCCAGGGACACTGAACTTCAAACCCCCAAACCAGCAGTTTGTCCTGATCATCCAAATCACACCATCCACGACCCGAGACACCTGTACAGAACTGCGGGTTGACCCTCTCCCGGGGGTGCTCTCTGGCCTCCGGTGTCATAATTATAAGCAAGGAGCCCCGGGAACCTGGATGCAGATCTTGCTTTGTTATGGCTGTGTGAACTGGGACAATCTCCTTCAGCCCTGTTAGCCTCCATTTCCTTGTATCTAATCTGGGGAATCCTACCTCCCACTCAGAAAAAGTTGTACCAATGAAACAATGGACTCAGCAAGCAGCCCAGGCTCTGGCATGCAGTAGGTGCTCAGCGAACGGGCAGCTGCCATAGGTTTTCAATCTCTGACCTCCTGGGCCAGCCCTCATGGCTGGTCAGCCGTGCCCGCCCCTTCTCTCCATCTGAAGGCTGAGAGTCAAGTGCAAGTCCACCTCCCTGCTCCCCGCCCTCCAGGCGTCAGGAAAGGGGTCCACCTCGGGACCTAGTGGGTTCTTCGGCAGCTGCTCCCCCGGTACATGCTTGGGAGAGGGCACATGTGCTGTTTTGGGGGCTGGCAGGGGTGGGGAGGCTGCCTCTTGCTGCAATGCTGGGACCAGGCCAGGTACTGGGGCACCCCAGGGCAGTAGGGGAGCCATCGGTGACATTTTGACGACAAGAGAAGTGAAGTCAATTTCAAGGTGGGTCTTTGAGAAGCAGGCCCCCGTGGGTATTGAGACCAGCCCTTGAGAACATTCTGTTCCACCCCAGGAAGCAGGGAAGCCGACAAGCTGCAGGGTAGGGTGGGAAATGAGGCCCCCCTTCCCGGAGCCCTGCGGTCTCGCTCGCTGGTTTCTGGTTAGCTGAATCGGGTCGTGTTCTCAGGGCATTAGACCGCAGGTCTCTTACTCACAGAGCCACACAATAGGAGCCTTGGGAGCAGACGGAAATGCACATGCCAGCCCTCCACTTCCTTTTTTTTTTTTTTTTTCCTTTTTTAGATTTTATTTATTTGTTTGAGAGGCAGAGTTACAGAGAGAGGGAGAGACAGACAGAAAGGTCTTCCATCTGCTGGTTTAACTCCCCAGATGGCCACAATGGCTGGAGCTGGGCCAATCCAAAGCCAGGAGCCAGGAGTTTCTCCCGGGTCTCCCATGCGGGTGCAGGGGCCCTAGCACTTGGGCCATCCTCCACTGCTTTCCCAGCCATAGCAGGGAGCTGGATCAGAGAGAAGCAGCCGGGACGTGAATCATTGCCCATATGGGATGCCGGTGCCACAGGCAGAAGCTTAACCTACTATACCACAGCACTGGTCCTGTCCCTCCACTTCTGATAAGAAGTTCGTGGACTGTGGCGTAGTGGCCCCTGCACCCATGTGAGAGACCGGAGGAAGGTCCTGGCTCCTGGCTTCAGCCTGGCCCGGCCCTGGCTGTTATGGCCATTTGGGGAAGTGAACCAGCAGATGAAAGCTGTCTCTGCTTCCCTTTCCCTCTTTCTCCCTCTAACTTTGCCTTTCAAATAGATCTTTAATAAACAAACCAAAAAAGATAAAATAGTGGGAAACTGGGTTTCAAAGAAAGTTTCTTTTTCCCATGACCTTTGGGAAGACTTGGGTGTGTGCACCACCTGGACACCTGCTATGCACGCAGAGCATGTGCAGACGGCCACAGGCTGTGGGCCCACGCTGCTCACGTCTTAAGCCAAGGCCTGGCGAGATGAAGAGACCTGTGGATTTACTAAAGTGCCCGTGCTGGACTACTGGAGAAACTAGGTATCCCTTAGAGGAACAGGGACATGGTGCCAAGAAGGAATAGTAAGAAAAGCAGCCTGGCCTCTGGGAATAGAGGGTGTTGTAAGAAAATAAGGAGGGGTCTTGAGGAACAAGGATTAAGACAGGAACCCGGCCCGATGCTGGGCGGCCCTGGCACCGACCCAGGGGCAAGGCTGAGCCCCTGGGGCCCCTTGGGTCTGCCTGGTCAGCTTCTTTAGTCTCGGTTCCAAGGGCCAGGGAGCTGTACACGGTGTGTCCCGCCCGCCCGCTAGGCCTGGGAGAGCGGAGGCTTAGAGAGGGCAGAAGCCTCCGCAGGCTGCCCCCCAGCGTCAGAGCTGTGTCTGCCCACAGAGCCACCCCTCCTCCATGCCGACTGTTGAGGGAGCCCGGGGCACCCGGTCCTTACACTCTATCCGGACCTGCTCCAGCTCCGTCACCTCGGCAATGGACTCCTTCAGGTCCTCCACGAACTTCTGCATCTCGTCGGAGCCCAGGGCACAGAAATGCAGCACCTGCTTCTTCTCAGAGCCGGACAGCGGGGTCACCAGTGTGATGCCGTGAGAGTAATCTGGAAGTCAGACCCCCGTGCCCAGTGGTCCGTGAGTGGCAGCAGCGGCAGAGGAGAGGGGGCGGGTTCGGGGCACGTGCCCTCCTGCCCCATACCGCCCAGCCTCCCCCAAGCCACGCTGTGCGGAGTCTCTGGTGTCACTCATTCATCGTCAAGGACTCACACTCGTTCTCGAAGAGGTGGAACTGCATGCCCAGCAGGCCGACCGACTTGCAGAAGGTGTAGGTGGAGGAGCTCTTCTTCTTCGGGCAGAGTTTGAGAATCTGTCCAAGAGACGGCCACAGGCTAACAGGTGCACGCTCGTGTCAACACGCGTGTGCACACATGCATGCCTGGACCCTGAGGACATTCAGGAACACACAACGGTGCACACACACACAACCCTCAGATCTCAGATACATCCTTTTGCACACACATACATGAAGGTACTTCAAACAGTTCATGGGAAAATGGAATGAAAAGATGACGTGTTGAAACCATGCATAGCTTCTTCACATTCCCATAAACTTCCTGAAGATGCCTCATACTCATGATTGAATTTTTTTGGTACAAACATAAGCTTACATTTCAATCTCATTTACCAGGAATGTTTTAAAGTGGTTTTGTACCTATGCAGAGACGCACATACTCTGGATCAAAATCCTTGTCTTCACTGTTGTGACTCTCTGGCGAGCGAATCCACACTTCTTGATCCACTGCCTATCTTACTCTGGGCTTTCTGCTTGAGCCACACTGTCCCCCATCCGGCCACACTCAGCCCCCACCACAGGCCCTTTGCACATGCTCTCCCCTTCCCGCAACTCTCCCTGTAACTTCTGCACAGCTGTACTGCTGTCATTACTTACGTCTTAACTCAAATGCTCCATCCTTAGGGATGCCCTCCTGGACCCTCCACCTTAACCTTGTCCCTGGCCTATTATCCTGGGACCTTCTCCCCACTGGAGAGTACCTTGCTTATTTGTATTCTTTGTTTGATTCTATGTCCCCCCCCGCTGCAGTGAAAGCTCAATACAGAAATACTGCTTCTTTGTGAGCTGGGCTTTGGGGATGCCGGAGAACAACCGGACAGAGGGGCTCTGCCCCCAAGGTGCTTCTGCGATGATGGACAGGGACAGCCAAGGTGGAAACCAACCCACTGACCATGAAGCTGCTTAGCAAAGAAACAGAGCCAAGAAAGGGATAACATGGGCTGCCCCGAAACCGCGCAGGGACTCAAAGGAAGTGACACAGGGTCAGGAGGAGAAAGCCACCGCCCAGGCGCCCTTGCTCAGCGGGCAGGGAGGGCTCCTGTGGGAGGGAGGTGACACGTGATGGAGACCTGCACGAAGCAGGGAGGAGACCATGCAGTGGCCAGGTCAGGCCAAGGCCCACAGAAGCTGCTCGGGAACAAAGAGCTGCAGGAGCAAGGACCTGGCCGGCGGGAGGCCTGGTCCCTGGGAGGAAGTTCCGGGAGCAGGGCAGTGTGGGGAGAGACTGGGCTTGGTCTGCGGCAGGCGGCAGGCAGGCAGCATCAGGCGCAGAGCTCTGCGTAAGGCAGCCCACAGCGGCGGGGAGGCCAAGTGGAGGCTTCTGTGGGAAGACTGGAGTGCAGCAGGCAAGGCAGGGAGAGGCAATGGGGCCAGGGGACCCCAGGGCTCCTCGACAGAGGAACCCTGCACGGCCCTGGTTCCCAGCATTCAGAACAAGGGCGGGCCCCCGGTGACCCAGGGAAGCTGTGTGTGGAGTGGATGTCTGTTCTCAGGAGCACGTGCACATATGCACGCACACACACACGTGTGCACACATGCATACCATGAGCACACACACGTGCACACATGTGGGTGCTAACACCCTCAGCATCTCCCCAGGCCCAGGGACAGTGCCTGCTCACTGGTGCCCTCTGTCCCTGCTAGGCCGTGCGACGTGAAGCTCACCGCTGTGCCCTGCCGGCCTCGGGAGGTGCAGATGGCCTGGGCTTAGCTCATGTCCACCTTGACTGCAGCCATGAGCAGGCGATTGACGGTGCCTGCACCTTGGTTTCATGATGTGGAAAACCTGAGCCTTATTACCCCTGTAGTGTGCAGGTGCATGCGACAGCGGCCTCCCTGTCACTGCGCGGGGAGTGCTCCTGGCTGAGGTCTCCGGCGCCCCTGCCCGTCCACCATGGGGTCCCAGGGAGCCAGCCAGGGTGCTCACCACCAGCAGGTCGTTGAAGAGGAACACCTCCCTTTGATGCGCTGCCTGCTTCTGCAGCTTGTTCACGTCAGTCACCTCGAAGAGCCGGCTGCAGCAGACCAGGCGGCGGTGCGGCACAGACAGCACCTGGGACGGAGGTGGTGCTCAGCCTGCGGCCCCGCCGGTGCAGCCGGGAGAGGGGCTAGGACAACAGGTCTGCTGCAGGGCCTGACCCGGACTTCCTCCCCTTCCCCCAACCCTGCACCCCTATCCAGGGCTCGGTCCCCTTCAATGGGAGCAAGGAGAGCAAGACCAGAACAGGAGTGGTTCATTATGCTGGAGGCCATGGAGAGACGAAGGTTTTGAGATGGAAATCAAAAGTAATTTCGGGGGCTGGGTGATGCTTGCATTCTGTATCTGAGTGCCTCGTTTGAGTCCCATCCCTGCACTTGGGATCCAGCTCCCTGCTAATGTGCACCCTGGGCGGAAGCCGATGGTGACTCAAGTGCTCGCGTCCCCACAGTCTGCATGAGAGACCTGGATTAGGTTCAGCTTGGCCATTTGGGGCGTGAACCGGTGTATGGTAGATCTCTGTCTGACTGTCTCTCTGTCTTTCGAATAAAAATGAAAATTAATAAATTAAAAAAATTAGTTTCAGGACAATTAAATCCAGCCACTGGGGGTGGGTATTTGGCCTAGAGGTTGTGTTACTGATTAAGATGCCTACAGGGGCTGGCGTGTGGCTCAGCAGGTTAAAGCCCTGGCCTGAGGTGCTGGCATTCCCTATGGATGCTGGTTCTAGTCCTGGCTGCTCCTCTTCCGTTCCAGCTCTCTGCTATGGCCTAGGAAAGCAGTGGAGGATGGCCCAAGTGCTTGGGCCCCTGCCCATGTGGGAGACCTGGAGGAAGCTCCTGGCTCCTGGCTTCAGATCGGCGCAGTTCTGGTCATTGTGGCCATCTGGGGAGTGAACCATCAGATGGACGACCTCTCTCTCTGTCTCTACATCTCTCTGTAACTCTGTCTTTCAAATAAATAAAATAAATCTTAAAAAAAAAAAAGGATGCCTAGAACCCAGAGCACCTGGGTTCAATACCCTGCGCCAGCTCTCCTCACTCCAATTTCCTGTTAATGTGGGCCCTGGGAGGCAGTAGTGGTGGTGCAAGTAGCCGGGTCTTTGTCATGGGAAAGCCGGATGGAGTCTCTGCTCCTGGTTTCAGCCTGGCCCAACCACGGTCATTGTGGGCATTTGGGGAGTGAACAGTGGAAGGGAGCTTGCTCTCTCTCTCTCTCTCTCTCTCTTGCCTCTGTTTATCAGTCCTCCTCTCTCTTTCTCTCTCTGCCTGTCAAATAATAAACTTATTAAAAAAGAAATCCAGCCATTATTAACCTTTCCCAGTCCATGACCTTGAGGGTGTCCCCATGTCCTGGGCTGGGGCCTGCACCTTTGACACCTCCCCTCTCACCACTGCATACCGAAATGCAAGGGTGCAGGAGCAGGGGAGGGGGAACTGCTCCAGTGTGTAAGTAAAGCCAGTCGCCAGCAAAGTGGACAGATGCGAGGACCTCAGGACAAGGGCTGTAGGGCGAAGCGTCCACTCCTGCGCAGGCTGGGCAGATGCACCAGTGTAGGACCTTAAGGGGCTCCCAGAGTCTCCCTGAGCCAGCGCCACCTCCTTTGCTTGTGTGGGGTGATGCACCTGTGCTGATGGCTAAGCAGTGTCGCATCCTGCAGAGGACGCTCGCTCTCAAAGTCCCTGCACACCTGCTGTGTGTCGCCTGTCACAGCTCACAGGGCAGGTGGTGGTGAGACACCAGGTCTGGAGCCCACTGCCAGGCCCTGCTCAGCAGGACCACCTGGGATTGCTTGGTATCCACCCCCTCCTGGGACAGGGTCCACAACCTCCCCATCTGGACACCCAGAGGCCTTGGCCCTAGGCTGTGGGCAGTCCTTTTGACATCTCCCCTGTCTCGGCTGCTGCAGTATCTGGTGGCTAAGAGGAAACACGGAAATTTGGCCTGGGAGAAAGGTGGCAGAGCCTGGCCACAGTAGGCACTTGGTAACTGCCAAGTGCATGAGTAACAGAAGGAGACGGAAGGAGACACCGGGAGGAAAGAAAGGGGAGGAGGTGGGAGGGGCTTGGCAGGAAGCTGGCCCCCCAGGGACACTGCTGGGCAACGGGCACTCACTGTCTTCATGCCCACGATGGACTTCTCCACCTTGGTGACATATGTGACGTGGTCCTCATTGGACTTGAGCTCCTTCTGCTGTATCCTTTCGTAGATGCCCACCACCAGCTCCCTGGGGATGTCAGCACCATCATCAACACCTGCCAACACAGAGGGGGCAGGCAGAGGACGGGGAGGGGACGAGGGTCAGAGCCCCGCCAGCCCTATCAGACAGAATCCCCCAGAGGGCAGCCTTGACTTTGCCATACCCCTGTTCCAAAGCCTCCCATGGTTGGCTCGCCATACCCATTCAAATAAGGACAACTCCCAAACTCCCACAGTGCGGCCCAACCTGTATCTCCTGCCTCCTCTCCTGACGTTCCCCAGCTGGAGCCTGCGGCCCGAATCTCCCAGGACTCTGTCTTGCCCGTCAGCCACGGTGCCCCGGTCTCCTGCCCAGCGTCTTTGCTTCTGCAGTTCTGTCGCCTCCCGCGCTGTGGTCTTTACCTCCCCCTGCGTTGCCACGTGAGCCTCCTGACGGTGTTCTGTGTGCTTTGCTTTGGCTTTTCCCCTTCCAGGGCCCTCCCCTCCCCTTCCCTGCAGCAGGAGCACGGGGTGAGGGGGCGAGGGATTCACTGAGGAGCAGGACAGGGCAGACTCTCTGCTCCACGCCCACTTCCTAGGAATGCTAACACTCTAGCAACAGAGGTCTCCAGAAAGCTCATAGGGAGTGCGTATTATGAAGAGGTCTATGCACACATTTAAACATTTTTTTGCACCAACATACACATTATGAAATATCAATGCACGCTTTCAAATATCAATGCATGCTTTCCCCCACCCAAAATAAACATCCTTGAATTCCATTTTGTCCGTGAACTTTGTGATGTACCCTCCTGCGGCAATATAGAAATATATATTCTTTGGAGATTAAAAAACAGAGGCAATAAAATATTTCTTCCTTTTGCTTTTCCAAATCTTTCCTCAATGATTAACATTCTTTTGTAAGATGAAACAATTAAAAATATATCAGCTTGGGTACATGCCCCCAGAGGCCTTCTCCCAACTCTGGGGAGGACCCGCTGCCTTCTATGCAGAACTCCCTGGCTTGGCCCTGGGGCTTCCAGGTCGGATCTAGGTTCAGCTCAGGCCAAGGGCCTGGGGGCTTCCAATGAGAAAGAGCAGGGAGAAGGAGTGGCCACTCAGAGGCTCCCAGGTCAGCAGAGCAGCAGGCATAGCCCTGGTGGGAGGTGTTTCTTGGAATGGCAGAAACCCGCACAGACAAAGAGAACAGCACGAGAGACAGTAGCACCGTGGGACCGGGAAGTGCGTGTGAGTGTGTGTGGAAGCGCAATCGGAGGCACCTGGAACCCAGGCCAGTGCTCAGCATGATACAGAGACAGCTAGAGGGGGCAGTGCGGATGCCTGAATGTGGAGGTAAAATAGGAAAGCAGATGGAAAATCAGAGGAAAAAAACCCATGGAGACTTCCCTATCCCCTCCTCTGTGGATGAACCAGGGACTCTGGACTGGGGACTCTAAGCCCAGACAAGGGCGGGGGGTACCTGTGCTGCAAAGTGGGGGTGAAGTCAGCATCTATGCATTAAGAGACTCCCCGAGTCTGTCTCCCACAAAGATCCGCAGAAAGCTGGCAGCTGCAATCAGACTGTCTGGGCGACAGCCTGCATGTGATTCTTCCCAGGCATCATTAAGCACAAGAAGGAGCTGGCGCTGTGGCGTAGCCGATAAAGCCTCCACCCGTAACGCCGGCATCCCATATGGGCACCGATTCAAGTCCTGGCTGCTCCACTCCCAATCCAGCTCCCTGCTAATGCACGTGGCAAAGCAGTGGAGAATGGCCTAAGTGCTTGGGTCCTTGCCACCTATATAGGAGACTAGGAAGAAGCTCCTGGCTCCTGGCTTTGGCCTGGCTCAGATCTGACTATTGCGGCCATTTGGGGAATGCACCAGTAGATGGAAGATCTTTCTCTGTTGCTCTCTGTAACTCTTTCAAATAAACAAATAAATAATACTTTTTTTTTTTTTAAAGATAAGCACAGGAAGGAATACCTAAAGACATTGTAGCCAGGGCTCCGAGCAAAACAGCCCGACCACAAGCCTCTAGCAAAACAGCCCGACCACAAGCCTCTCATGCAAAGCTTGGCAATCAGCAGCTGTCATCCGAGCTCACAGCATCTCTAGCCACGCACTCTTAAATACTCATGGGCAAGCACATCTCAGCAACTGTATTCAGGTCAGTAACATGGAGAGGAAGAGACACGTAGGCAAGGAGGAAGGAACTGCAACAGATATAAGCATCATCATCTCTTCAAACAGACAGGAGATATTGCATCTATGCAACAAGACTCAAATACCACAGAGGAGACACTGAGAGAACAAGACGAGCCCCTGAAGACAAGAATTCGAAGGTGGGAATGAAAACCGTGGGAGGACAGACCTTGGAAGACAAGCCTGAGGGGCATCGTCCAGAAAGGCAAGCAAGGGAGCGAAGATGGCCCAGAGAAAACTCAAAAAACTGGAACTCAAAGCCAGGAGCTCCACTGCAATGCAGGGAAAGCCACCACCTGCAATGCCGGCACCCCATACGGTCACAGGTTCAAGTCTCCACTGCTCCACTTCCAATCCGGCCCCCTCCTTGCTAATGGCCTGGGAAAAGCAGCAGCAGATGACCCACATCCTTGGGCCCCTGCTACCCACTTGGGAGACCCAGATGAAGCTCCTGGCTTCGACCTGGCCCAGCCCTAGGGAATGAACTAGTAGCTTGAAGATCTCTCCTCCGTCTGCCTTTCTCTTTCTCTCTGTAGCTCTGAATTCAAATAAATAAATAAATCTTTAAGCAGATAAAAACAACTAGGCACTCCAACATTGGAATATTAGCAGCTCAAAAGAGAGAGTACAGAGAAAATGGGGAGAGGGCGATTTCAAATATAATCTCTAAGGGCCAACACTGTGGTGCGGCAGGTTAATGCCCTGGCCTGAAGCGCCAGCATCCCATATTGGCACCGGTTTGAGACCCGGCTGCTCCTCTTTCCCTCTGCTATGGCCTGGGAAAGCAGTAGAAGATGGCCCAAGTCCCTGGGTCCCTGCACCCGCGTGGGAGACCTGGAAGAAGCTCCTGGCTCTTAGCTTCAGATCAGCACAGCTCCGGCCATTGTGGCCAATTGGGGAGTGAACCAGCGGATGGAAGACCTCTCTCTCTCTCTCTCTCTCTCTCTCTCTCTCTGCCTCTCCTCTCTCTGTGTAACTCTTTCAAAAAGAAATAGAATCTCTGAGAAAGCTCGCACAATCGGAGCACTTGCCTCTACACTGAAAGGACCACCCTAGCACAGAGACAGTGAACGGGAGAAGAGCCGCGCCAAGGCACACATTCGTGGGAACTCAGAACACGAAGGCAAACAGAAGAACCTACGTGTTTTCAGAGACAGAAAGAAACACAACCCACGAAAGGCCAGGAATTGGCCGTGGCAGAGCAGGAAACCCATCGCAGCAAGGCCTTCGACTCTTGTTTCCATGGTTCGAACCCGGAGTTCCACTCCCAGCAAACTCCCAGTCAGGGGTGAAGACAGGAAGACAGATCACAAGGCACAAGTTCTCAGTTTACCTCTGATGTGCCTTTTCCCCTGGAAGGAAACCCAAAATGGGGGAATCTGTGGAACCCAGGAACCAGGAATCCACTCCAAGAGCAAGGTGAAGGAGACCCCAGCATGACGGCTGCTGTGCTATGAGTCGGTCTTTGCCAATTCAGGGCTTTGGGGCCTAAACACTCACGTAAATGATCTAAGAGGGTGGAGACATCATCCAATCATGGTGTTCCAGGGTGGCCCCCGCACTTGAATGCTGGTGGTTTTATAAGAGACTTCGCAGACACAGGCAGGTGAGCCCCCGTCTCCGGACTCAGCCAGCCACAGCATCATCAGCGGCTGCTGAGCCAATGGGGCTGCCCCATTTTGGGCTGTGAAGTTCCAGAACCAGGAGCCCAAATCCACCTCTCTCCTTCATGCAGTTAGGCTGCCTGAGAATTCCAGAGATACAGAAGATGTTGACGGATGCAGCAGCTGTGTGGCTGGTCCAGTAACGGGTGCAGACAGAGCTCTGGGAACCCCTGCACGATGTGCGAGGACCAAATAGATTGAGAGAAAGTTGACACTTGAGGTGAGAAGTGCGGGGCTAAATTAGTGGCTGGCACATTGAAAGCCAGGCAAATGGAAGAAGAGCACAAACATTAGCCCCAAGAGACACAGGAGCAGAAAGAACTGTAAGCTCCTGTAAGCTCAGGGCTCAGCTCTGCATGGGCTTACCTGGCTCTCGTAACACAAGCACTGATCTTAGCACATGGCTGGGGGAAGTATAGGAGAGAGAGCTAAAGATTTATATTCTAGGTAACGGTGAAAATCAAAAAACCTAACAAGAGCAGCATCTAACAGGGGAAACCAGACCCCTGAGTGTGTGTCCTAGATGTGAAGTTCAAGGGCCAGCAAAACTAATCAGCAGTGACGAAAGCAAAATAGTTGCTACCCCTGGGCCAAGGTGTTGAATGGGATGGGACAGAGTGTTCTGGGTGATGGAAATGACCCATGCCTGGTGCGTAGGTCTGAACCAACGCACGTGTCCATCAAGCTCTTAAGCTTCCTATGTACTTTATATGGTAGAATAGGGCTTCATAAAGTTCGTCAGAGATGTAACGAACAGATACATTTATTTTCTGTGAAGAATTGTGAAAGATCTGCCTATCTAGGGGTCTTCAAAAAGTTCGTGGACAAGGGTTGTCATCGTGGCACGGCAGGGTAAGCCACGGCTCCAGATGCAGGCATCCAGTCTCAGGGTGCCGGTTCGAGTCCTGGTTGCTCTGTTTCTGATCAGCTCTCTACTAATGCAGCTGGGATAACAGCACATGACGGCCTGAGTACTTGGGCCCCTGCCACCCACGTGGGAGACCCAGATGGAGTTCCTAGCTTCAGGGTTCATCCTAGCCCAGTCCTGGTTGTTGCAGTCATCTGGAGAGTGAACCAGCAGATAGAAGATTTCTCTTTTTCTTTCTCTGTCTGCCTTTTAAAAATCAGTTTTTTTTTTAAAAAGTTCATGAAACACACATACATAATGACTTCAAAATATTTTTGCACCAAAACTGACTTACCTTTCAATTCAATTTTTGCACAAACTTTTTTCATGTGTGAATTAAAAAAAGACTCATTTATTTATTTATTTGAAAGTAACAGTTTCAGAGATAGAAGGAGAGACAGAAAGAGAGATCTTCCATTCGCTGGTTTGCTCCCCAGATAGTCACAATGGCTAGGACTGGTCCAGGCCAAAGCCAGGAGCCAGGAGCCAGGAGCTTCTTTCAGATCTTCCACCCAGGTGGCTGAGGCCGAAGCAGTTGGGCCATCCTCCACTGCTTTTCCCAGGCCATTAGCAGAGAGTTGGACAGGAAGCAAAGCAGCCTGGACATGAACCAGTGCCCATATGGGATGCTGGGGTTGCAGGTGGTGGCTTTACTGCTACGCCACAATGCTGGTTCCATCACAGACTTTTTTGAAATATCATCGTGTGTATTCTATTCCAACAAGCAAAAGCGAGAGAGGATGGAAAGCAACAGAAGCACGTTATTATGAATCAGAAGAAATGAAGTAAATAGCTGAAAAGGTTGAAACTGGTGGTCCTCTAGTGGTAGAGGCCTTCCCAAGGTCAGAAAAAAGAAAAAAAAGAAACTTACCCTGGGAATGGAATGTGGGCAGCATCGGCTTGCCTATCAATGCAGCAACTGTGGCTATCATCTGCTTCTATGTAACCATGTCGGCTTCTGCATGCTAGTACTGGCAAGGCCATTAACCCTTTTACCCTTGCCAGACAGCGTGCAGCTCAGTACATGAGTGAAAGAAACACCATCAGTAACTATGGACACCTGCCCAGCAGTGTATCAATCCTGTGGCCTCCATGTAGCATTAGAATACCTAATCACACCTAAGCAGAAAGCCATATAAGGAGACAAAGAGGCTTAAACCATAGATAAGGAGCACCCTTCTTTGTTGGGTGCTGGCTTTTTGGATGTGAACCCAACTGGCCTTATGCTGGCATAATGATACAAGACTGCGTCTTGGCCTTGGTGTCTGGTCTTTGTTCACGAATCCCACTGCATTTTTTTTTTTTTTTTTTTTTTTTTTTTTTTTACAGGCAGAGTGGATAGTGAGAGAGAGAGAGAGAGACAGAGAAAGGTCTTCCTTTGCCATTGGTACACCCTCCAATGGCCGCCGTGGCCGGCGTGCTGCGGCCGGTGCACCACGCTGATCCAAAGGCAGGAGCCAGGTGCTTCTCCTGGTCTCCCATGGGGTGCAGGGCCCAAGCACTTGGGCCAACCTCCACTGCACTCCCGGGCCACAGCAGAGAGCTGGCCTGGAAGAGGGGCAACCAGGACAGAATCTGGCGCCCCGACCAGGACTAGAACCCGGTGTGCCGGTGCCGCAAGGTGGAGGATTAGCCTAGTGAGCCGTGGCGCCGGCCCCACTGCACTCTTAAGAGTGGACAGAGGGCCAGGCCCTGACTTTTCTGTAGTAAGCCTGTGGACTGATTTCACTTTATTAAATGATGTGCACGTATGTTTTTAATTTTTTAAATGCCAAAACTCAATGGTGCACATATCTCACTCTGTGGGTTTTGACTGGATCCCTACCAGGGCTGCAAGGTATACATCACAAACGACTGGGCAGGCAGAGGCTGACTGACGGGCAGGCAGAGGCTGACTGACGCGCAGCCCTGAAGCACCTGCTCCTGGCTCCTCCCTCACAGGTTGTGTGGTGGGAAGGCCTGGAGTCACCCAGCCACCACTCTGGCCCAAGGGCCTGGAGAGCAGTCCAGGGAAGATGTCCCACTCAGCAGTGCCCAAGACCCCTGATGCTTTGAGCAGGGCAGTGGCAGTGGGCCCAGATGCCTGGCACACACACAGCTTTCTCAGCCTGCCAGTGGGGGACCAGGCCCCGGGAGCAGGTGAGGAGCAGCCCCGGGGGCCCCGACTCACAGCTCTGGGCCTCGGCGGGTGCAGCCTCACCTCGCAGGTTGCGGATGAAGTCCTCCAGCATCATCTTGCGGTCGGGCTTGATGTTGGGGCTGTACATGTCGGTGTTGAGGAGGATGATGGCAAAGGCCAGGATGAAGATGGTGTCGGGGTTGTGGAACTGCTGCACCACCTCGGGGTTGCACATGCAGTAGCGCTGGCTGCGGGGACACATGTGGAGTGGACAGTGAGCCCTCGCCCCGGCCTGGCCCCACAGTGCGGCAACAGAGGATGGTGGAGGGGGCAGCCTAGCTCCCTGCTCCCTACACCAGTCCTCTGCCCACCAGGACCTCGTCTTGCACAGCTGCTCAATACAGATGTGCTTAGCGAGAGACAAGGGAGGGTGTCCTGTCCCACTGGGGCTTCTCCCCAGCACCCCTCCTGGCTTGCGGCTCGCAGTGGGGCCAGCGGACGGTCCTACCTGAAGGCCTCGATGAGCCGCTCCACCTTCTGGGCCTCTCCTTGCACGCGGATGTGAGCCTGGAACTTGCGCAGGGCCTCGTCCAGCTCCATGCTGGAGAAGTCCATCTCGTCCACCACGCAGCTGGGGGCGGGAAGGAGGAGGGGCCGTGAGGGAGCAGCTACGCCTGCTGGGGCTGAGGAGCAAGGCACAGCACCGCCCCCTTCCCACCCCACTGGCTGCAGGTCTGGGGAAGTCTCTTTCCGTAACCTAAGGGGATGTCTTTGGCCATCTAACACCGCACCCTGGCAGCATTCACAGCTGAGGCCATGGAGCTAGGGGGAGGCGGGACTCAGCTCCTCCAGCTCTAAACCCCCAGTTCTGTCCTCTCAGCCTCAGAACTCCTCTGGGTCCACAAAGCTTTCAGTGCAGAACCCATGCAAGGTGCTCTCCCATTCTTGGAGACCTGGGGCAGCTGTGGTTTCTCCCCAGTTTAACGTTTGTCTCCCATCTGCGTCTCCAGGTGACAGAAGTCCCCCTTCTGCATGGGCTCGTAGGGAGGGGACCACACCCCCGCCAAGCTCTGGGGCCATCCTCACAGCCAACCTGCTTCCCTCTCTAGCCAGCCCCCAGCTCTCAAGGGGCTGTGCTGGGGCCAGAGAGGGCCTCAGCGGATCCAATGTCAAATTTAGCTTCCTGTGGGATGGGACAGAGAGACAGGAGGCCTAGATTGGGGCCTGGCCTTCCCACTGACTTTGGCTCATGACTCACTTTGGGAGTCCTGGTTTGTTCTGACAGGGAGGAGGTAAGAGTGCCCACTCCCCAAAGGCCACCTCTGAGATGCCGTCCCTGGGCCTGGAGGGTGGGCATCCAATGGGGAAGGGGTGGTGGTGCCAGTCCCCCAGATAAGCAGTCTCTTTCCTCCGGCCTTCTTCCCCCTCATTTCGGGGGGAAGAAGGAGGAGAGCGCATCCCCAAGGGCTCCTAGACAGGGAAGGAAGGGCGCTGGGGGCTGAGACTCTTCCCTTCCCTCTCCCGAGGGCAGGGCCAGCTTCAGCTATGAGCTCAGCCTCGGCTGGGTCAGGCTCTGTGTCTCTCAGGTTTGTGGGCTGGCGGTGAATGGGGGCTGGGGGATGAGAATGCTGCCCAAATGTGAGAATGGGCAATGGGGAGCCGAGGCCTCCAGGTCCAGCCAGGTGAGAGGCCACTCTGATTTGCCAGTGGCCCTTGTCACCTGTACCTTGGGTCCTCCCTAGCTGCTCCGAGGGCTGCCTTATGGGGCCCCCATCTGCCTGTCCCCATGGCCCAGGTCAGCTGCAGCCACAAGTGATGCCGACTGGGGCTGCGGCCTGAGACGCCCATGGTGCAGTGGCGACTGGGGAAGCATTCCTGGAGAAGGCCCAGTGCAGCCACGCAGCCGGGATCAGGCCAGAGTGAGGGGGCCGGGGAAGGAGAGGGACAGAGAGCCGCTGGGAGGGGAGGTGCAGACAAGGAGAACACGGAGAGAACCAAAGGGGGAGACAGAGAAAGAGGCAAAGAACAAGTGAAACAGACGGGCAGCAGGGGAGAGGGGGAGAGAGAGAGAGAAATGATCAAAAGGGAGGGAGAGATGGGAGGGAGGCAGAAAACAGGAAAACAGAGATACGGGTGCGGAAAGGGGAGGGGGAGAAAGAGAGGATGCAGGACACAGATGAGAATCAAGGAAGACACGGTAGATGGGGTGGGATACGGGCATGGGGCAGAGGGTACCCACCTTGCACCCCCTCACTGCAGGCCCCTGACACAGCCCACCCTGACCGAGAGGCCTGGCTCCTCGGAGGGCCCTGACGGGTGCTTGGTCCCTCTGGCCTGGTATCCAGCTGATTCCTGGGACTGGCCCACCTCAGCCCAGCTCCCCGCTCCTGCTTTCTCCCTGTGGCTTCCTCACTCCAGGTCCTGGCACCCAGCTTCCTCCCCCCATGGCCCATCCAGACCCTCTGTCCAGGCCCCAGGCCCCAGAGCTCTGCACAGGCCTTGGGCCACAGTGGTGGGGTGACTGCTGCAGGCCGGGGCATAGTGGGGGAGGCAGCAGCTGGTAAGGGCGGCCCTGCGCTGCCAAGCGTGGTGGCCTAGTTTCCAGCCGTTCACTTAGGTGATGTGCAGCCCTCTCTCTCTCTCGCTCTGGGCAGGCTGAGGAGCCGCCTTGGTGGGAGTGCCAGCCCATGAAACCAGGTGCACTGAGGACAGCCCCCATAGGCCCCCAACGTGGGGGGCCTGGGGAGCCCCTGGGCCCAGGAGCCAGGGGACCCTCCCAGTGTGTTCTGAGGACCCCAGCTCAGGTTCCAAGACAATTTACTGAAATACAGATCCCCGGAGTCCTCCCCAGATCCTGAGAATACAGGGTGGGGGAGGGGGTTGGAGTGGGGAGGCCTTGCACCCCAGGGGATTCTTAAGCTGTGAAAACCAGGGGCTGAGTTGAGTGGGAGGGGCCTGGGGGCTGCTGCTATGGTCATCAGCAACTAGTGGGCCACCAGGTTGCTGGGGACGCTTTTCCCAGGGGGTGTCTGCAATGGCCACCGGCCACCAGGAGGGAGGAGGCCATGTTGGGTGGTGGCAAGGCGCTGCTCTCGTCCACGGGGCAGGCCACCTCCCTGTCCTCCCAGGTGAGCCCTCAGGAGCCCTCTTCCCTCCTGGGCCTTCTCTGCCCAGGCTCTGGGAGCCCCACCCCGCCCTGCCCCAGCCAGCCTGTGTCGTCCTGGGGAAGGAGCCTGCAGTGGGGGCGCGTGCTCGCCTGGTGCGCACAGTCCTCATGCCCTCACAGCACAGCTGTCTTTCACGCCTCAGTGGAAGCTGCAGCCTGCACCTCCTGACCCGCGGGCGTCTCACTCTGCAGCGTCTGCCAGCACTTACAGTCGGGTCTGTGGCCTTGGACGCAGGACCCAGGACGGTGGTTTCCTTAAGATGGAACCATCGCACGCTTCCAGCTGCTCTTTGCTGATGCGTAACCTCCCCATTTCACAGGAGGCAAAAGTAAGACCTCACAGACGTTTGCCCCTTGCTCCCACAACGAGGAAGAGCAGGCTCTTGGCTTCCCATTCGGGGGAGGCCTCTTCCCCTCAAGTCTGTGTGGGCGGGGTGGCTCCCCCAGTGGTGGGAAGCCCCCTTGGAGCTCTTTGCTGGGTGCTGTGCTTAGGGCTTCCCCAAGGGCACAAGGGCTCAGGCTTTGCAAACCAGTGCTGTGCCATCATCACCCCTTGATTTCTGTTCCGTGCTCACAGGAGAGCCAGCCCTGCAGGGGGACTGCACAAGTCTCGTTCCCTGTGGGAGCCCCCCTCCCGCTCTGTCCTCAGAAGGCTGCTATCGTACTTGGTGGGTGCCCGGGAGGGGCCATGTGGACCCGGCCCTAGAGGCCTGGCTGTTGGTGAGTGAGGAGCTGCTTTGTCGGCTGTGGCCAGCAGCGTGGCCACGGGATTACGCACAGGGCCGGAGCTGGCCTGAGTGCACAGAGCTCTCTGTAGGCGCCGGTACCCCTGCCTTCCTGTCTTTCCCCACCCTGATAGTGGCAGGCTGTCGAGGCCAGGCCGGGCAAGACAAGACTCCGATCTGAGAGGCAGGCGGTGAGCGCAGTCAAAAACGATCCCTGAACCACAGTGACAAAGCAAATGTAGGAAGAAGTCAAGGTTCCATGAGGAGACAAAGGAGACACACATGGAGTCCATCCTGCTGGGTCTGGAAAGGCCTCCTGGGGGAACATGGCACTGGAGCTGGGATCTGAACTAGCAACGAGAGTCAACTAGAGGTCGGGGCAGGACTGGGGGTGCTCTGAGGCGGGGTGGGGTGGAGCCCAGGCAGAGGCTGTGTGGAGGAAAGAGCTTTCAAGAAAGGCCCTGGGGATGGGGCCGGGGGAGGCTGATGGAAGGACAGTGGCTGGGGCTGGGAGGGGCAGAGCTTCGCAGGTCATAAGTTTCTCCTGGATGCAGCAGGAGACAACAGCAGGGCGTGATCAGAGGAGTGATGGGACCCTGTTTGCTTCCAGCTGATCTCTCTGGCTATTAGGGGAGAGTGGACGAAAGGGAGGGGGCAGGGACCAAGGGGAGGGTCGGTTGGGATGCTGCTGCGGTGTCTAGACAAGAGCTGAGGAGGCGTGGGCTAAGGGAGGAGCAGCGGTCACCGACGGAGGGCGCCATCTGGGATGGGACAGGCGGTAGAGGGACTGTGGATGGAGGCGCTGTTCTTTGCAAGGAGGGCGTAAGCCGGGGACACAGGCAGGGGCAGGGATTGAGAGGTCCCTCTCGCAGCTGCAGTTTCTGCCTCTCTGTTAAGCACTCAGAGGTTCAGCTTTTTAATTTAATAGGTTAACACCCTTCCTTGACCCCTCATGGCTCTCTATCCCCCACTGTCTTCTGTACTCTTTCTTGGACCCAAACTTGTAGAAGTCTGTCTCACTCAGACTGTCTCTGCTTTGCCACTTCCATTTGTTCTGCAACCTGCTCACAACACTGAATTGTCCACACCACACTGCCAGCTCTAATGGCCTCCCCTCTGTCCTCAGCTCCACAGCTCCTCGGCACTGTCAACACCACCGATCACTCCCTTCTCTTTGGCTCCCGTCACACACCCCTGTCTCTCTTGGGAGGGGGCCCTCCTCCATTGCACCCCAACACCCACCCTGGGCCCTTTGCCCTGAGCTCTGACTTAGGGCAGGCCCCCGCCTTTTTCTCTCTCTCACCAATGTCTCTCTGTGCAACCTCACCCATTCCCAAGGCCGTAAAAGCCTCCAAGTGCAGCGGGCGCACAATCACTCATTTCTGGTTCACCCACTAAATGATTTTCTGTTTGGTTGCCCTCCATGGTGTGTAAAAGACCATGCAAAGCTGTGGTGCCAGTGCGCGTGGCGGGCTCGTGTGAACCAGGGGGCTGTGCACCTCATCAGAACTCGGCCAGCACGCTTCGGGCATTCCGGCTGGCGGAAGGCATCCAGGGTGCTGTGAGGTGGCTGCCAGTCGCTGGGCAAGGTTCACAAGGCCGTGGGTTGTGCCAGCATCTCTTGCAGGCAAAGTCAGGCTTCACCTATTTAACTCGCTTTGAGTAAATATTCGACAATGATAGGTTTGATATGTTCTTCGGATGAAAAGTCCCCAGAGCCAGCCGATATCGCTCTTCCCC